TGTGTGTGTGTGTGTGTGAGTGTGTGTGTGTGTGTGTGTGTGTGTGTGTGTGTCACCCTGTGCGTGCTTGTGTTGCAGGAGCTGTTGGTCTGCCGATGTTGCTGCTGATGGAGGACTGGGATCTGTGTCGTTCTGTGAGAAGAACCCATGACGTTCTGACGCTGGTCACCATGTTCCTCTGGTTCTTCATGCTCATCTCCTACCTGGCCTACTACATTCGGGAGAACGAGGCTGTCGCACGCCGACACCTAGAGTACCTCAAGTTCCTGGAGAGCCGGGATCCTCCTTCCGATCGAAATGCATAAGAGGCTCCCCAAGCACTCCTGGAATCTTTCCAAAGAACCATAGAGCTCCTGTAGAACTTCACCAGAGACCTCGTGAACATCCTAAAAACTTGGAATCTATGCACAAATGACCAGATCCACTTTAAGGTCCAAAGAACTCCGAGAACATTCTTAGAAGCCTTTAGAAATTCCTTAAGGAACTCTTTATCCTAACCAGGGCTTGTAAAATCTTGCAGATAACTCCCCAGGGACAAAATGCAGAACCTCAAAGACTGTGGAACCTCTTCAGTGACACCTGTAGCATCCTCAGGGAACCATAGAGCTTCTCTACAATTTTATCAGCAATCCCTAGAACCTCCTTGGGGACCACCAGATCTTTCTGACCCTTAAAATACCTCAAGAAACTGGAAATCCCATTCAAGGTCCACAGAACCAAATGATGAACTTCTAAAAATGCCTCAAGCAACTTTTATGTTCCCAGTCCTATGAGAGGTCCTTTGCAACATCTTGAACCTCGCAGAACTTAACATTCTCGTATGTTTTGCAGTGATTCTTGGAACCTTCTTAATGATGTTTTAGGAGAGTTTAGGAGAACTCTTAGAACCCAGAACCAGAGGTTACCTAGAACTTGATGAGGACTCTGTAATTCTCAGACTTCACTTCAAGGCCCTTAAAATGCTTCAAGGAACTGTAAAACCCTCTGGTGACACAAAGAACCACATGATGTATGTTTAAGACCTCCTGAAGAACTTAGAGCTCTTCAATCACATCTGAAACCTCTTTAATGAACTCAAACGTTCCTCAAGGATCCTGGAACCTCCTTCGTAACCTTTAGTTAAGGCTCAAGGAACTTTGGATGTTTGGGGGCTTTCCTGAGGACCTTCAGAAACAACTCAAAGAATTCTGTTTCCTTCTCAAAAATGTCTGGATTCACAATATCACCTGAAGGACATCTGGAACCTTCTTAAGACCTTAGAAGTTCCCCAAATGTCTCCACAGAACCATGTAAAGGTTTTCTTCAAATACATTTTAGAGTTCCTTAATAACTATGAGACCCCACTTGGTCCTTCAGAGTCCTTGAAGAACACTCGGAACTCCTCCAGACTTTCCCAACCATCTTCTGAGAGAATAAAATAAAATAAACCTTTGATGTTGTTCTGACTTCATGTGTGAATAAAACCTCATCAGTAGGATTCAGTTTGTTTGTCCTTATTTCCTCTATGATGAGTCAACTCATCACAAAATGCAGCAGAAAATTAATATTCATCCATTATGATGACTGATTAACTATTTATAATATGATAATAAACTGAATGTTTTGAGCTTTCAGACAGAAAAAGTTTTAAAACTTGGAAGCAGATTTTTGGACAGAATACATCTTCAAATCCGGAATCAGAGGATGGAGGATGAAGGACCTGTGATGCAAATAATTTTCACCTTAAATATGTAAGAAAACGAGATTAAGTTAATTGTGTAAAAAGAATCAACAACAAAACAGTAAATTGACATTAACGCTTAATAACATATGCATTTGTTTTGCGGTTTAACTTTGTGGCCCGACAGCTGTTTTGTTTGTTTTGAGGTTTGAGTTGGAAGAAGTTGCAGTTTGATGGATATAGAACCAGTTGTATTCCTATCATCTTGACTTTTTTTAATGTCTCTGCAGCCTAGATAAAATCACAGAAAAAAATATTCATTTAGAATAGAATAGAATGCCTTTATTGTCACTATACACAAGTAAAATGAGATTAAGAACCATTTACATGTTGACCGTAAACAACAACAACAAAAAACAGGCCTAAACTTTACAGAAATTCCACATCACAAATCTGTGTTTTTACACAGTTTGTCATTGTGTGACCATACAGTCACGGTTTTAGCATATTTAAATGAGCTAAAATCATAGTTATTTTACAGTTATTTGCTTTTTTTTCATCCTACATTGTTGTAATAATTATGGAGATTCATCCAACTATTGTAAATTATGAAACTTAACCTAACTAATATAAATATTAAGCTTCCTCAGTTATGGGAATTGACTAATGTAGAACTAAAGTTTTGACCCAACAAACTTAAATGACAGCCCAACACATCCAGAGAGTCCCTGGATCTCCTCACAGCGAACTTTTGAAAAATTGTTTTAATGTGGTCTAAGTTGTGTTTGCTGGATGGTTAGCAGAGTTTAGAGCCTCAGATTGGGTTTGTTCTGTCATCAGAGACACTCAGAGCTCAGCAACACCACAAATCAACTCGTATGTCTTCTGTTTCTCTCTCTGCTTGCTCGTATTGTTTCTATTACAGTCCTCAGAACACATCACTTTATGCATGTGTATTTATATCCAGGTAGGTTGATAGCTGGTGAAATTAATTTAAAATCAGTATCAAAATCACTAAGAATCAGTTTGATTCTCTCTTTGCTGTTTTATAAAAACATGACTTTTGTCTGTGTCCAGTTTCCTTTTTTTGATGGAAAATGTTTTTGTTTTTTTTTAGGATTATAAAACACACAAGGTCTTTAAACAAATTAATTTTCTAAAGTGGACTAAATATAATTTCTGCGTAATAATAATAAGTATTTTTCAAGATAACTGAGCCGAGCCATGTTTTGACTCACATTTTAAGAAACTATCATCACATCAATGTTTGTACCTATTTTAACTTGTTTTTCTAACATGCATATTTATATTTTTGATGAATTTATTCTGCCCGGTGTTTAGATCAGATTGTTCTGAATTATTACTATTTAAAAGTAAAGGATCAATAAAATCTGAATACTTCTCAGTCGTTCCGTTGTGTTTTCGTTGTTGTGAAACTTAACAGATCGATCTCTCTGCTTTCGATTATGTGAGTCTGCGCCGCTGTTTCTGCCAGCAGCTGCTCCTGCCTGCGGTCTGTTTCCCACAATCCTTCGCGTCACAATAGTTGCCAGTCATTGCGGATTCAGTGCAGTTTAGCGGAGTGACTCTGCACATCAAACTCTCCTTAACAAATCACCACAGCTTCTTCTCTCCGCTCACCGACACAGTTCGTCCGCGCTCAGCATGAAGGAGACAGCGGCCAAGCGGCGGGACAAAGGCCGGGACTCCAAACAGGAGAAGCCCAAGGAGCCGAAGGAAGCGGGCCCCGAGCCGCAGGACGTGGAGATGCCGGAGGAGGAGGCGGCTACAGCGGCCAAGCAGCCAAAGGAGCTGGACAGCGTGACGCTGGACGGTAAAAACCAGCTTTTTAAAAAGTCTGTTAAACTCGCCTAGAGGCTCCGGTAACGGAACCGGTTCGCTGTCAGTGACCGAAAATAATGTAAAGTCAGCGGCATTAGCTTGTTAGCATGAGCGGCTAACAGCTAACTGTTGTTTTGAACCCGCTGTGACACCGACCAGGCTGGGACCAGAACCAGATTCAGAACTAGATCCAGCCTTACTGGACCGGTTTGTGTTCACATACAGAAAATTGAACTCAGGAAACTCAGGTGTGTTTAAACGCAGGTGTCAGAAGGACATTCAGCTTTAAACAGAACCAGAATCCAGTGAGAAAAGTTCAGGTTCTGGAGATTGAGGAATTAATATAAAATAAATACAGAATCAGAGTGGAATTGCGAGAAACTCTGCACCAGTCAAAGTATTAACAGGTACCTGATGTGCAGGTTAAAACACTTCAGACCAGAACCACCTCACTTGGACCTCACACTTTACTCTGTGTGGGATTCACAGTCTCTTACTCCACTAAAACTACCTCAGACCAGGTCCAGACCAGAAAACATTTTCAAGAACCTAAAAGAGAAGTCCATTTACTTTCTACCGAAGCTCTGAAGATTTTTGCTGCTTCTGAAATCTGAAGTAAAAGTGATCAAAATGACCCCAAAGAGAACTGAACTGTTAGTTATGTGGACGCTTTGATAAGCTGCTGTCACTTTAGATTCATACACATCACTTGTCGTGTTGTCGAACACCATATGAAAGACTGTCACTGTGTTTAACTGAAGCTATGACAAACATGACAGTGTAAAAAACAGAGCCAGACTGAAGCAGCAGATCATCAGACCTGAACCAGATTTACATTAAACTAAAAAATCTAATGACGTGATGTTTTGTTTTAATATGAGATAAAGCAGCCACACTATCTGCCATGTTCCTGCTGTGCGATCATCAGGAAAAATACAAACAGGCATATTTTTTTATTATTAATAATAGAATAATTCTTCCTGTTACAATCCTCAGCTCATGTTTTAAAACCCTCTGTTGTAGCTGCCTCAGTTGGTTTCATGTGTTCAGAGTTAAAAGTTCTGTAATCAGTGATTGTCTGCTGTTTGAAAACTTTCTCAGCTGTTCTGACATCTGACTAGTCTCTGTATTTTTGGACTGTGAGCTTTATGCTGCTGAATTAAACGATCGAACTAGCAACATCTGTAGACAGAGAAGCTGTTTTTCATCCTTGTTGTGATAGATCTCCTCTCAGCTGATTTCTGTTTGTAGCCAGATCTCCTCCTCAGTTTCTCTCTTGTTGCTTCTCATGTGGAGCTGCAGCTCAACAAACGGTGTCTTTTAAATAAAGTTTAAAAACTCCAGAAAGCCTTAAACTTTGGTAGAAATGCTGGGAAGTGTCAGTTGTGTGTCTGTCGCTGTGAGTGTACCTGAACAGTGACTGAATGTATTCCTGTGCAGACATTAAGGAACATGTGAAGCAGATCGAGAAGGCGGTTTCTGGGAAGGAGCCTCGGTTCGTTCTGCGAGCTCTCCGAGCGTTACCGTCCACCAGCCGCCGCCTCAACACCAATGTGCTGCACAAAGCCATCTGTGGCTTCTTCACCAACAATGCCACCACCAGAGACTTCCTGCTGGGCTTCCTGGAGGAGGTGAGGTCACACAGTATTGATCAGTTCATACCTGCTGATAATCATCACTCATTGACAGAAACTGATCAGATGCGGTGATTGGAACTGAAATGTGTTTGATTTTAAGAATTGAATCTGAGACAGAATAATAAACAGGAGACTCTGACTGTTAATCAACCGATAATCAGACAATAAGTCGATCATTAGACGATGTGAATGATGGAGTGAAGCAGCAGGATGCAGATCATGGAGCCTTAAAACTCAACCAGTTGTATTAATAATATATTTCTAAAAAGATTCCTGATCACATGATGGTATTGATCGGTTGTTTGTCTGTCTCAGCCGATGGAGATGGCGGATGGAGATGTCCAGTTTCGCCCGAGGACGGGGAAGGCGGCGGCAGCTCCTCTGCTGCCGGAGGTGGAAGCCTACCTGCAGCTGCTGCTGGTGGTTCACCTGACCAACCAGAAGAGATACACCGAGGTGGGAGCTCACCTGACACCTGTTGGTTTATGTTAGCTCTTTGTTTTTCTCTGGGTTTTTTTTTGTCATTCTTGTTGTCCTGTGTCTCTTCGTTTGTTTGTTTTTCTCTGTTACCTTGTTTTTCTCAGTTGGTTTTTGTCTCTTCATTTGTTTGACAATTTTCAGGCTCACTGAAGCTGTAAAAAGTTGATCTGTTTGTTGTTGCTTCTTGTTGATTCTGTTATTTTTGTTGATGTTGTTATTTGTTATTGACGTTGTTGGTTGTTGTGTTTCAGGCTCAGAAAGTGTCGGACGACCTGTTGCAGAAGATCGGTTCTAAGAACCGCAGAGCTCTTGACCTGGTCGCAGCTAAATGTTACTATTATCACGCCCGAGTGTACGAGTTCCTGAACCAGTTCGACACCATCCGCAGGTAACGCTTCCAAAGTCATGACATTTTTTGATTACTTTTTTTCATAAATGTCCCAACTTTTCAGAAATATCACGACACATCCCTGGCCTTCCTCGCAGCGCTAAAACTCTCATTGTGTTTTGACCGCTCAGCTTTCTCCACACCCGGCTGCGGACGGCGACACTGCGTCACGACGCCGACGGTCAGGCCGTTCTCCTGAACCTGCTGCTCAGAAACTACCTGCACTTCAACCTGTACGACCAGGCAGAGAAGCTGGTGTCCAAGTCCGTGTTCCCCGAGCTCGCCAACAACAACGAGTGGGCCCGTTACCTCTATTACACAGGTGAGACTCATACCTGGACTACACAGGTGAAGGTTGTCCTGCCGCCACAGCTGACCGGTGTGTCATGTGACCTCCTGCAGGTCGGATTAAAGCGATCCAGTTGGAGTATTCTGAGGCTCGCAGGACTCTGACCAACGCTCTGAGGAAAGCTCCTCAACACACTGCCGTGGGCTTCAAACAGACGGTCGGTACACACTGATGTACTCACCACATATTCTGTGGTACTGATACTATGTAGAATCTAAATTACACAGCAGCTGTGTTTGTAACAGTAAATGTGTGTGTCCAGGTTCATAAGCTGCTGATCGTGGTGGAGCTGTTGTTGGGAGAAATTCCTGACAGACTTCAGTTCAGGCAGCCGTCACTCAAAAGGTCCCTGATGCCGTACTTCCTGCTCACACAGGGTTAGTATATATTTATCTTTATATATCTATATTTATATTATGTTTGAACTCTCTGAGTACTGCATCAGCTCACCTTGACATGTAAAACTCCCAAACTGAACCTCGACCTGATTTTGACCTAAACTTTAACACCAAGTCTAAAACAAACAGATAAAATGAGGACTTTACAGACAATCTCACAACTTTTCAGAAATATTGTAGCGCTTTACAAATGTCACGACTTAAGAAAAGTGTCACAGTTTAACGATTTGGTCCTCACTTTATGAAAATGTCACGACTTCTAAAAGTTATCTTTTATTATTACATAATCTTTTCTTTGAGTATCTTTTCAAATATGTCTTAACTTTTCAGAAACTCAGGATTTTTGAAAAATGTTGCAGCTTTCAAAAATGTGACACATTTTTAAAAACGTCACGACTTTTCAGATGTCAGCAGTAGGGAAAAAAAAGCTTCAGCGCTTAAAAGCTGCCGTGACCTTTCTGTCATGACATTAAAACTGCCAACTTTTCAGTAGCAATGCAACTTTTTAGAATTGTCCTGACTTTAAACAAAAGCCACAACTCTTCAAAATTGTGAGGACTTTTAAAACGTATCAGGAATTAGAAAACATCACGACTTTTCAGAAGTGTCAGGAACATTTTAGAACTATCAGGACTATTCAAAAATGTCACGTGTGAGAAATGTCATGACTTCACCAGTTTGGTTACTATTCATTCATGTTGAGGCCTAAATAAAGTCACATGACCAGAGCAGGTTCTAACCGTGGCTGTGGTTTGCTCAGCGGTCCGGACAGGTAACTTGGCCAAGTTTAACCAGGTGTTGGAGCAGTTTGGGGAGAAGTTCCAGACCGACGGGACATACACGCTTATCATCCGCCTGAGACACAACGTCATCAAGACCGGTGAGCCAATCACACGCATCGTCACCTCTGACATCACATGATTCCATGTGAGCGACCAGGGCTTCTAACCAATCACGAACCGGTTTGTGTGTTCAGGTGTGCGGATGATCAGCCTTTCGTACTCTCGCATCTCTCTGGCTGACATCGCTCAGAAGCTGCAGCTCGACAGCCCCGAGGATGCAGAGTTCATCGTTGCCAAGGTAACCAGGAAACTCCGTCACAAGCATACCTCAGACTGCCGTACGGCAGCGGGCGAGTCATGTGACCTGTGTGCGTTTGCAGGCGATCCGTGACGGCGTCATTGAGGCCAGCATCAACCACGAGAAAGGCTTCGTCCAGTCAAAGGAGACCATGGACATCTACGGGACCAGAGAGCCTCAGCTGGCGTTTCACCAGAGAATCTCCTTCTGCCTGGACATCCATAACATGTCTGTCAAGGTAACGCCTGAGAGAGCCGCAGGTGACCTGTGGGGTCACAGCGTCCAGCCGACTGCAGCTTTACTTAGCTTCACATCTTCACTGCCAGCAGAGAGCGAACAGGGAACCTTCTCCATCAGAGCCTTCACCGGTTTTGGACACACTGAAAATATGACTTTAGTATCTCCATTAAATATTTAAAAAAACTAAAGGTTCTAGTTCAAAACCCTCTAACCTTAGCACTTTTTAAATATGATAAGATTTTTCCAAAAACAGTAACTTTCAAAAATGGAAATACTATTTAAAAATATGTACTTTTAAAAATATATCTTAGCATAGTCTCGGCGCTTTTAAAAAATGTCAAGAATTTCCTCCTCGTCACTGACGACACAAGTTAAATGAAATCAAACAGGTTTTGTCGTTTAGAAATATTACAACTTTTTAAATCTGATACATAAACTTTAAAGGTAATACTATTTAAGAATATCAACTTTAAAAATCAAAACATCAAGACTTTTTTTTTTTAAACAGCTTTTTAAAGATATCAAGAATAAAAAAAAAAAAGTGTAAAGATGTTTTAAAAATGTCATGATTTTAAATGTGTCAAGAGTTTTGAAGAAGCACTTGTCAAATCTCAGGATTTTACAAAAAAAAAATCCAGACTTTTCAACCGTTAAGACTTAAAAAAAAACAAAACGTGAACTTAAAAAAAATTGCAATAGTATATAAAAAATAGTAACTTTACCAAACAACAAAGTTTGGGAAAGTTGATTGGTTTAAAAGACTTAAAAAAAAAAAAGTCTATTTAAAAAAAAATAAAATCAAATAATAATAATTTTTTTTAAAAACGCGCTTTTAAACGCTTAAAAAATCTCTGGACTTTTCAAAATGTCAAGAATTTTCACTTCCTCACTGATGACACAAGTTACACAAGATCCAACAGGTTTGAGTTTAATGTGATAAAATGCAGAGCAGAAAGAATAACGGCAACTGTCTCCCCCTGCAGGCCATGAGGTTTCCCCCTAAAGCTTACAACAAGGACCTGGAGTCAGCAGAGGTAACACATCGGACATCACACACTCACCTGTCACATGAAAATGCATCTTTTCCTAAAGTCCTGTGGAGTTTAAGTGTAAAAACTTGCTGCTGTTGTTGCGATTCTGAATAAAATCTGAGCTGTAATGTTGTCGACTCACCACATGGTGGCAGCAGAGCCTCATTTTATGACACTAAAAGAAGAGCAGACGACCAATCAAATAACAGCCAATGTTTCAGACCTTGACATCTGGTATTTAACTTTCTGAACTACCAGCAGCTTATGTCTTAATAAGTCCATGTGTTTATTGTTCTTGTTTTTCTTGTTGTTGTTATTTTATTAACAAAAACAACAAATGGATTTTGGCAAGTAAGACGACACGTGGAAGTGGATGTGGAAACAGAAACGTGAAAACGCTGACTCGTTTTTCACTGCTGTGACTCACTTTGTGTTGTTCAGGAGCGTCGTGAGCGCGAGCAGCAGGATCTGGAGTTTGCCAAAGAAATGGCTGAAGACGATGATGACAGCTTCCCGTGAGCCACTACGCTGACTTCCTGTGCAGACAGGAAGTTGCCGTGTGTCAGTAGATCAGTTATTACCCACAATCCCCCTCTCCTGCTTTGTGTTTTCCTGCTGTCATGTCACAGCTCTAACTCTGCTGCTGTTTGTTGTTTCTCTCTCACGTAAATAAACTCTGCTTTTGTTTACACGCCTTTGTTTGTGTTTGTTGTTTTTGGGATGATGATGATGTCACACAGCAAGTGGAAACACACTGCTGCTCACAAAGACGGTGGACGGGACGCTAAGGAATGACAGATCCAAAACAGACACAAAAACATGAACAAAATAAAATAATTCAACTAAAATTAAGTTAAAAAAATCCAAAATGAGGCAAATACAACCAGAATAAGACACAAACCAACTAAATGAGGCACAAAGCTACCAAAAATTGGATAAAGAATGATCAAAATGAGGAAAATAAGACAAAACAACAGGAAACACCTGGAATAATGCACAAAACAACAAAAATGAGGTGATGGACAATGACGGTATGACTGAGCAGATGAGGAAAAAAAGCAGTCGGAGTGTTTAGTGAGTGATACTGATACATCATTCTGCAGCTCTGTGAAGAATAATCTGACTGAGTGGATGTTTTTCAGTAGTTTGGTGCCTCATTTTAATTGTTTTATTTCATTTTTATCCTTTTGTGCTCCAGTAAGTAAATCAATCAATATTTATGGTAGTTGCAAGAAAATTAATGAATCATGTTCTTGAAGTGGGCTGAAGGTGGTCCGGTGGTTAGCACTGTTGCCTCGCAGCAAGAAGGTTGCTGGTTCGCGTCCCGGTGAGGACACCCGGGATCTTTCTGCGTGGAGTTTGCATGTTCTCCCCGTGCAGTGTGGGTTCTCTCTGGGTTCTCTGGCTTCCTCCCACAAGGTCCAAAAACATGTTGAGGTTAATTGGTGATTCTAAATTGTCTGTAGGTGTGAATGTGAGTGTGCTTGTTGTCTGTCTCTAAGTGTAGCCCTGTGATAGACTGGTGACCTGTCCAGGGTGTCCCCTGCCTTCACCCTGAGTCAGCTGGGATAGACTCCAGCCCCCCACGACCCTAGTGAGGATTAAGCGGTGTGTAGATGATGGATGGATGTTCTCGAAGTCACCAGAGGATCTCAAGTGTGATTGGCCTGAGTTCAGATTTTTCAACCTGCGCAAACGCGAATTCACGTCACTGCGATATGTACACTGAGGAGATTTTCCCCGGGAAGGATCGCGTTGCTTCACATGACAGCTCCTGTCCCAGTCACCGGTTCTGTAGAAGCGGCGAGACAACATGGCAGCTCGGCCGCCAGCTTTCTCTTTCATTCCTCTGCAGTTTCTGAATCTGTCCTCATTTTAGTTCAACAACGGCTAGTTTAGCTGTTTTTCGTCCGACCTCCGCTCCCCGCGCCTCATTTGCATAAAGTAGAAGTCAGGTCTACTTTATGCAAATGAGCTGCAGGCGGCTCGCGGACGACGCTCCAGAACAGGTCGCGAGGTGTTGACCATTTTGCCGGATCCGGTGGACGTACTGTAGACTATAGATGGTTTCCGCCATAATGACGGTGATTCCGGTAGGATGCGACTAAAGGCCCAGGTGTGAAATTCACGGCCGCCACTGGTGGAAGAATACTTTGCAGATGACACACAAAAAAAAGTGTCTAAAATATTGACATGAGGGAAACCATCAGCTCCTTTGTTTGGCTTCCTGGTGGATAAACTACCGGCTGATAAATGTGAATGAACAAAACAAACCAGAGTTTCATCACAGCGGGAAACACCTGCGACTCAGCAGCTTTAATGTGAAGGAGTTTCTGTTTACTGAAGAACTGCTGCAGATTCTGATCAAAAGAGCTTCAACACCTTTAATAAATATCACACGTCAGCTTTTCTTTTGTCAGTCAAATCTGAAATCAAACAAAACAATCCAGCGTGCGTGTCGTGTAGTTTCTTCCTGTGTTTCATCATGTTTCTTTAATCATTTCAGGAATTCCAGAAAGCTGTGAGTCACCTGAAACTCTGCCGTTTGTGACGTCAGAGAGCTGCACTATAAAGTGAGATTAGTGGGCTATCATGTATGTTGAGCTTAAAGTCGGAGTTTTCACTGGCTCTCTTGCCTGGCTAGATCTCCATGGTAACTGATGCTGTGGAGCTAACCTGGTCTGGAGCAGGTTCTGTTCACGATTTAAACCAGCTGGAAGAAGCGTCTCCATTTAACCAAATCGTTTCCTGAGGATTCTTTGAGCGATACAGATTCTCAGCTGCGGGAATGTGTTTCGTCTGCAAACATGCTGAACTGTGCATTGCTAATATCACTGAATGAAGCTGTGAAGTTACAGTATCACACGCTGTACATGAAATCTGGCATGTATTTAGTTGCAGAAATCACATCCGTTTACATACAGGTACTGCAGTCGATAGAACACAAATTAGAAAATTGGTTATTTTACTGGTGTTTATTTCAGAGAATATTCAATCAATAACATTAATTTCACTTTGATTTGACCAAAAAGTGATTTCCTGCATTATGGGACAGTGTCAGACCTACAGTTGAAACTAGAAGTGTACATACACTGTATAAAAAGACACATAACCTTTCATTTTCTCCCTCTGACATTAAATCAGACTAAACTTTTCCTGTTTTAGGTCAGTCAGGTTTACCAACATTATTTCTATTTGCTAAATGCCAGAATAATGAGAGAGAGAATTTATTTATTTATTTTTTAAGGAAATTTTTATTCCTTTCTTTAAAGTCAGGAGTTGACATACACTAAGATTACTATGCCTTTAAACTATTTGGGAAAGCCCAGATGATGATGTCATGGCTTTAGAAGCTTTTGATAGGTTACCTGACAACATTTGAGTTAATTGGAGGCACACCTCAAACAAACTGCTTCCTTTTGTGACAACACGGGAAAATCTAAAGAAATTATCCAAGATATCAGGAAGAGGTCAGAAAGCCCCAAGAAGAAGTCATTATCCACAGTGAAACCAGTCCTGTACCGACATGGGCTGAAAGGCTACTGAGACAGGAAGAAGACATTACTCCAAAAGCAACATAAAAAAAGCCAGATTGCAGTTTGTAAATGCACACAGGGACAAAGACCTTCATTTCTGGAGACATGTCCTGTGGTCTGATGAAACTAAAACTGAACTGTTTGGCCTTAATGACCATCGTTACATTTGGAGGAAAAAGGATGAAGCTTGAAGCCTGAGAACACCATCCCAACTGTGAAGTACAGGGGTGGCAGCATCATGTTGTGGGAGTGTTTTGCTGCAGGAGGGACTGGTGCACTTCACAGAATAGATGGTATCATGAGGAAAGAACATTATGTGGAAATATTGAAGCAACATCTCAAGACATCAGCCAGGAAGTTAAAGCTTGGGCACAAATAGGTCTTCAAATGGACAATGACCCTAAACATACCACCAGATTAGTTACAAAGTGGATTAAGGTCAACAAAGTCAGTGTTCTGGAGTGACCATCACAAAGCCCTGATCCCCAATCAAAAAGGCGGCCAACAAACCTGACTCAGTTCCACCAGTTCTGTCTGGAGGAATGGACCAGAATTCATCAAACTATTGTGAGAAGCTTGTGGAAGGAAAACATTTGACCCAAGTCATACAGTTTAAAGGCAACGCTACCAAATACTAAGGATATGTATGTAAACTTCTGACTTTGAAAAAAGTAATTAAAAATTCTGTAAAAAATTCTCTCTCTTATTATTCTGGCGTTTATCAAATAGAAATAATGTTGGTAATCCTAACTGACCTAAAACAGGAAAAGTTTAGTCACATTTAATGTCAGACAGGCAGAAAATAAACAGTTATGTGTCTTTTTATATAGTTTACATAAATTTTTGGTTTCAACTGTGAATGCACCTCAACACAATATCATGTTTAAGTATATTCAGTTTAAAGTATAAATTTAACATGCAGCTGTCGGTTATCCATAATCAGCTCCAATGATCAGTAAAATAAATATTACGCACATTTAACAGTTTTCTACCAGCATTCCTGTCTTGCACCATTTGCAGTAGTGATGCTTTTTCCTGTCACACTTGTTTTCTTCCTCATTGGTCTCCATTAAAACAACGTGTTGTATCAGATGTTTTATTTCAGATCATCTCACAGGTCTGAAAGTCCGACAGAGACGTGACAGCTGCTCATTTGTTTCACTTCAAAGTGTTTGTTGCAGCAGCTGATTTAAAGTTGAACAAGTTTATTAATTCCTCATGGAAACATCTCAGAAACAGGAATAACATTAACAGTGAATTCTGTTTAAACAACTAAAACACTGTGAAACTGATTTCAGCTCGATGTTTGACCTGCTTCAAACTGTAATTTACCACAGATCTGCTGAATCTGAACGCAGCGCTAAGCTTTATTATAAAAAGTCGGAATTTCAGCTGACTTTAGGTTTAATCCGTTTGATGCATGTGGAAAAGTTCAGTTTGAGAAACTTGAGGAAGTTTGTGTGTGTGAAGTGTGTCATTCAGCCTCTCCCTGTGTTTCTGTTGAAATACTGAAAGTGTGACTCAGCACAATATTCATCGTTGCAATCAGGGTTTCCTCATCAGCAGAGAAAAAAACTGACTTTTTATTTCCTGTTTAAATCACATTAGTCAGAGTTTTCTGTTTTTGTCTTTATCTGTCTTTGTTCATGTTCCTCTGAAATGTTGCATTAACTTGATTTATACAAGATTTATTCCTAAAAACATGCAGAAAATTCATTATTCTGGCTGTTGACACTGTTCACTGATTTATGGAGTGAAGAAAGAAAGTTATTTCATAACAAACTTTGATTCTAGTATATCATCAAGATGAAACAAGAAATCTGAGGCGATTTCTTAACATTTCACTGGTCTGTTCTGGAGAATAATGCACACGTGTGAAATTTAACAATACCGTAAAAGCAAATACTAAAACTTATGTTCAGCAGCTGTGGCACCAAAAACCATCTGAAATTTTACATTTTAGATGTCGAGTGTAAAAACAAACGGTCATACTGTAATATTCAGCAGCTGTGGCGCCACAAACTGCCATAAAAAACAGAAACTGACCTTAAATTTAAATCATTTAACCAAATTAAAATACAGTTTCCAGCTTTAATTTTATATTATGTGTTTTTCTTTTTGGTTGTTTTTGTTTGTTTTAGGCATTTTAATTCTGAATTAAGGATGTTCAAATGTAATAACTGTGAAATTGCAAATATAGTATGATTCAACAGCACTTCTTTTGACGCAACTGCTATCATAAAACCTGGTAATTTTCCAGTAATTTTCCGGTCAGAATTCAGGGAGCATTACATCTGTATTGGAGAGACTAAAACGTGAGTGAAATAAAATCCTAATTTGACTAAAAACACAATAAAAAAAATAAAGTCAATAAAATGCAGATATTTTCTGGAAATGAACAACTCAACAGTGATTTGTAATATTATGCCAAATAACATTTATGTCACTTTCTTTGTTTTGTAGAATATATTCTGTTTTAAATGATCATCATAAATGTAGGATATAAACAACCACAGATCCCCAAAAGACAGAACTTTCCAGCTCACATTCACACGCTGTGGGACACGGGACTTTCCTGCAGGTCATAGGTGAGCGTAGATCAGCCTCGCAAACTTGGTGGAGCCATTGCCGGACAACCAGAGCCCAGAGAACCAGAGAACTTGTAAATTATCTTATCACACCTGTCAGAGCTTCAAAGGATCGTAATAAGAAGAAACTTTTTGGGAGAAGGCTAAGGAAAACATCCATCCACAAAGATCCTGACCTGGCTGAGCTAACCAAATGGCAGCATGGCAGACAGCACGTGGAGGGCTGTGGACCCTCCAATGAAATGCCTCCCCACACCATGACTGGCCCACCAAACCGGTCATGCTGGAGGATGTTGCATTCGGCAGAACGTTCTCCATGGCGTCTCCAGAGTCTGTCATGTCTGTCACATGTGCTCAGTGTGAACCTGCTCTCATCCGTGAAGAGCACAGGGTGCCAGTGGCCAATCTGCCAAACTTGGTGTTCTCTGGCAAATGCCAATCGCCCTCACGGTGCTGGGCTGTAAGCACAACCCCCACTGGTAGACGTCAGGCCCTCATACCACCTCATGGAGTCTGTTTCTGACAGTTTGAGCAGAAACATGCATATTAGTGGCCTGCTGGAGGTCATCCTGCAGGGCTCTGGCAGTGCTCCTCCTGCACAAAAGAGGAGGTAGCAGTCCTGCTGCTGGGTTGTGGCCCTCCTACGACCCCCTCCATGTCTCCTGGTATCTCCTTCAGGCTCTGGACACTGTGCTGAGAGACACAGCAAACCTTCTCGTATTGATGTGCCATCCTGCACTACCTGAGCAGCTTGTGTGGGTTGTAGACACCACCGCATGCTACCTCTAGGGGTGAGAGCACTGACAAGATGTGAAAGTGACCAAAACATGAGCCAGAAAGGATGAGAACAGAGACATGGTCTGTGGTCACCACCTGCAGAACCACTCCTTTATAGGGGTTGTCCTGCTAACTGCCTCTCATTTCCACCTGTTGTCTGCTCCATTTGCACAACAGCAGGTGAAATTGATTCACATTAAGTGTTGCTTCCTACCTGGACAGGTTGATTTCACAGAAGTGTGATTGACTTGGAGTCATGTTCTCCCCGTGCAGTGTGGGTTCTCTCCAGGTTCTCTGGCTTCCTCCCACAGTCCAGAAACAATGCAAGGTTAATTGGTGATTGTGTCAATGTGTGTGTGCTTGGTTGTCTGTCTCTAAGTGTAGCTCTGTGAAAGACTGGTGACCTGTCCAGGGTGTCCCCTGCCTTCACCCTGAGTCAGCTGGGATAGACTCCAGCCCCCTGTGACCCTCGTGAGATAATGGACGGATGTTCTCAAACCAGAGACTCTTCCTCTAACAGAGGGTGCAGCTGCACAGCATTCACTCTGCAGACCTGGGACTGGATCCTTCTACAGAGCAGGTCTCTGAAGCCCAGTGACTATGGATGGACATTAGGTGTGCATGGGTATGAGACAGTTCCAACACTAGACCCCATGACTCCTGAGGAGCTACTGAAGTTCATGAGCTGTAATTGTCATTCTTCTTGCAGATGCACCGCCGGTTGCTGCACATGTCACATGCATCTGGGCCTGAGCAATCTGTAAAGGCATTACATGCAGAAACTGCAGTCATGATGTTGTTGAGTCTGAGCATGTTATTACACACCTTTACAAACATATTGGTGAAGAAATTGTTTGGTAACGATTTAGTTGCCAGATTTGTGAAAAATCTCATAAAATGCCCTTACTATATCTGGAGGATTTTTCTTGCTCTACCCCTCCTCCTCTCTCTGCTCTGGATCTAAAGAGTGCGAGCTTCTACTTTCAGAGCAAAACTCTGACCACCTTATGACTCCGTGTGACCACAGAAGCGTCATATCTCGTCATATCTAACCCTAACCCTCTGGGAAGGCCCTTTGTGATTGGTCAGTTATTTTACTATGAAAAGCCTCTTCACCCGAAAAAGCGCAGATTTTCTACCGGCCACAGAATCTCCCACTCTCCCACTGAAGCTGAAGCTGAGGCCTCGTCTCTTCCAACACCAGACATCACAGCATCTGCACCCAAATCCAAGGAAACTGCAGGTATTGAGCTTTCCATCTTTGAACAGGTGCTTCAAAATTACAATTGGCCTTCAAACAAACATTCCAAATTTAACAGTTTAATCTGCTGCTTCAGGTGAAAAGACTTTTGAAGTCTCTGCTCCACATTTAGTTTCTTATTCTCAGATTTTCAATCAGCATTTTCATCATTGTGGGGCTGCAAGGTGGCGCAGCTGGTAGCACTGTTGCAGCAAGAAGGTTGCTGATTCACGTCCCGGTAGGGGCACCGGGATCTTTCTGCATGGAGTTTGCATGTTATTGCATGTTCTCCCCGTGCAGCGTGGGTTCTCTCTGGGTTCTCCGGCTTCCTCCCACAAGTCCAAAAATATGTTGAGGTTAATTGGTGATTCTAAATTGTCCGTAGGTGTGAATGTGAGTGTGCTTGGTTGTCTGTCTCTAAGTGTAGCCCTGTGATAGACTGGTGACCTGTCCAGGTGTCTCCTGCCTTCACCCTGAGTCAGCTGGGATAGACTCCAGCCCCCCATGACCCTAGTGAGGATTAAGTGGTGTATAGATGATGGATGGATGGATTTTCATCATTGTTTGTATTTTATGTTTTATGTTTGTTGTTGTTATTTGTTTGCTTTAGTTCGTAATACATTTTTTGTGTGTATACAGTTCTTTCCTGTGTTTTCTATGGCTTACTGTCACTTTACGTATTCGATCTTTATAGTTATTTAAGCTCAAAGTTAATTCCCTGACATTATAAAACATTCTTGACTGATCACCAAGAGTAAACAGTTTATTAGAATTATTGTGCCGACTCTGAGATTATATCACTGGACGGATAATTTAAAGGTTGGTTTTAATCATTTTAATTAATGCAATCATTTGCTTTATGGTGGAAAGAATAATAATTATTAATAAAAACTCAGAAAAACTCAGATCACAGAAATGTGATCTTTGAACTGAACATTTTGCAGCATTTAAATGATAAAAGTCATCATCATAATAATCAGATTGTATTTTCTGAGGAACTAGCTACAGCCTGTTTTATTTTGGTTTCATTGAGGTTGTATTCTGGTTTTATTGTGGTTTAATTTGGTTTCTCTGGTTTCATTCGACAAATCAAACACCGGAACTTCGGTTGAAATGAAGTTGTGAGGTCACGTGTCCTAACTGGGCACGCTGCTGCTTGCGGCCACGATGCGCTGTGACGCAGCAAGCTGTCAGCAACTTCCGTCAGTTTATGGGTGACTCCGGTAAAAACGGAAAACCCCTCAGCGACGCAATAAAAGTCAGGGAGCTACAAATGGAAGCTAAAAAAGAATCTGCACAGCTAAACGCCAGACAGACAGAGAGACCCGCAGACAGACAGCCACCCTGACACACATGGACCCTCGCACAGGTAAGACCCGCTCCGCCCGCACAGGTAGAGCCGCACAGGGAGATCCAAAACCTGTAGAACTGTGCAGCAGGAGTCAGAAGTTAAAAATAATAATAATAACAATAATAATAATTACTTTGTACCTGAGCCTGCACTCACCTGAAGTTCAGCATTTATGGAGGGTAAATAGTGATAGTGCACAGGTATGGGAGGTTGTTAGTGCCCAAACACTGCAGGCACATGAAGAGCAGGAGCCTTTAGCTCATTTTCTGAAAAGGTTCTAGCATATCTTCATCTGAGGACTGTGTGACTCTACAATATTATAATTAATAATACTGTTGCATTACTCGGGAAAATAATAATGATGTAGTTTGTAGAGGTTTCAGTAGTTTCTTGGAGTGGATCTTTTGGTCATTTGTTGATTTAGAATGTACTTCAATTTTTTTTAAAGAGGTTCTAAGGATTTTTTAAGTGGTTCTTTGAATGGCCGCAGGGTTCAATCTGCATTTTAGATGTTTGTGTTTTTTTTTCTCCCCACTGTATATTGAATATTGCTGTGTGGCACTGTCAATACTTCATACAACTAATTCAACATGTTCCCTTCTCCAGTCGCCCTCCTGCACTGCTTCCTGTTTGCAGTTCTTGTCCAATCAGCTCCTGTCAGCTCGCCGGCTGACCCCCCACCAGCGTTTAGAGAGGCGGCCGAGCGAGCGAAGACGCTGGTGGAGAAAATCCTGAGAGACATCCCCACTGTGCATAGCGCCACCATCAACACCGAGGTAAACTGATGTGAGATTCACTGGGTTAGGTGAGCTCTGATTGGCTCTTCTTCTTGTGTTAACGCCTCCTTTGCATCTCAGGGCCTGAGCCTCGACTCGTCCAGTCAGACCACAAACCTACAGATGATGGTGACGTCACTTGGAATCCCTGCTCCCCCCGTCCTCAAATCACTGTCCGACAGCTTTACTCTGGTGAGTCTGATGAAAACCCATTTATTTTGGTGGCTAAAGTGGTTTCTTGGGGTATTGTTCAGTCTCTGTGATCTCAGCCTATAGGGGGGAAAAGAGGACTCCTCAGGTTTTTGAGCTGGTTGTTGAGTTGACTTGAGGGTAGCACCTACAGTCTTTGAAGAGATTTTAAGGGTTCTTAGGACAGTTTATTGTGTGCTTTGCATACAAAGGCACTTCACTGGATCCTTATCGATATTTTATGAGTGTTTGAAAGGGTTGGTTCTGGGATGAGAAATAGGCCCTTTTGGTTGTTGTTGTCATGGGGACTTAAGGGTACGTGAGGTCTTTACAGTTTGTCTTAAGCTACCTGGGTGAGTTTGGGGTTCTTTTGGTCCATTGTGAGATTATAGTGAACTGGAGGATTTGTTTGGTTCCTGAGGTGGTTTTAAATTAACAGGCTTCTTCCGATGTATCAGGAAGGAGGTTCTAGAGATAAATGTGGGGGTTCTTTTGATGCATTACGAGAAAGGTTCTAGATAAAGGTAAATGTGGCAATTCTTTGTGTTCGTGAGGAGGTTTTGGTGACCCTAAGGTGGTTCATGTTGTGGTTCTTGGGGTGTTTCTTTGGTGACTGTGACAGTTCTGGATTTGAGTCATACAGTTATAGTTGTTTTGGTGATGCTTTGGTTCTCTGGGTTCTACTGTCTATTAAATGTGATGTCACCCCCTGCAGGACATGTGTGTGAGTCGGATGTTGGTGGGCAGCCAGTTGCACCATGGGCTGCTGGGAGTTCTGTCCGACAAACTGAGTGGACTGAAGGACCTGAGAGCCGATCTGAGAGACCTGCAGACGCACATCACCAAGGTAACGCACACCTGATATGACGTCACAGCCGTGCTCCAATAACGGTGCTCCTCCGAATGGTCATGTGATCTGCAGTTGTCTCACTGCGGTTGGCTGACAGCTGTCTATGTGTTTCAGATGAAAGAGGCGGCTCAGCTCAGCAGTGATGTTTCCGATCAGAACCAGATCCCGGACCTGGCTTCTCGTCTCCAAGGAAACTATGAGGTCCAGGTGGCGGGCCACGTGACGCTGATGCAGCTGCGATCCTTTTGTCACGACCTTATTCGCAGCCTGAGAGCTGCCATCGCTTACAGGAGAGCTGGAGGTAAGCGCTAAGCCCCGCCCACCGTGGACGCCACCGCGCTGCATTTGAGGACACACGGGAGAGTCGGTAAAATGACCTGCAAGACCTGCTGAGAAACATTATTCCTCATGGATCGGTTATTGATGAATTTTCTGCACCTGATGAGACCTAAAAACAGAACTGATGTGATACTTCAGCAGAACTCTGTGTTCTCACATCCTAAAGAACACAACGTACAAATAGTTTAAAAAAAATATATAGTTAGATATGCAACAGACTAAAAAATATTGGATCTTCGAGCAGTGGACAGCCAGAGACTGAACTGTTTTGGGATCAGTTTGAGACCAACACAGCGTCTTTGAATCCGAGTCGCAGCACGTTGACAGAACAACCGTCAGGAATGTGAACACAGAAAGAACTGATTGTGGCAGTGATGGAGGATCTGCAGGTCAGGACCTGCTCGGCTTTCAGCTGACTTACCTTAAGTCCTTCTGCAGCTGCAGAAGACAAAACCTGCAGGTGTCGGAAGAGTTACAATCCACACATTTATAAAGATCAAGCTGCTGCTCTTTGATCCCAAATGATTCTGATTAGAGTTTACGTGAAATTAGCTGTAGGTTATTTATGTTGCTTTTATTTATTGATATTTATTGATAATATTTATTGATGTTGTATTTATTTGTTGTTTGTTTACTGACCTGTGTATGTTTACATGGAGGCTTTAGAACCAGCACACAGACAGACAGAGACCTTTTTCAAAAGTTTCTGAAGTTGAGCAACAACAGTAATTATGTCACAGCAGTGATGATGTCACAACAATGTTGTCATGTGGAGCTGACTCAGGGGAATTCACGTTTATATAATAACTGTTTTTACATAATAATGTTTTATTTATGTGTTTGTATTTCAGATAAAATGTTATTTATCTGAATGTATTTTTAAATTAATCATATTTAGGTTTTTATATTTCAAAATTAAATATATTTATTTCAAAAAACAATATTTATATTTTTATATTTGAGAATAAAATGCTATTTATGTGTTTATATTTCAAAATAAATTATATTTATTATGTTTTGTAAATATTTCAGCATAAGATTATATTTAATGCAGCAAATATGTTCATTTTGTCTTCAGTATATAACAGACTGAAGGATTTCTTTTTAATAAGACAAATGGTATTAAGTTGTTAGCTGTACCTTGACATGTTTCGGCGTCTTTTCTGTCGCCTTCTTCAGAAGCGTCATCTGACGAGTGTGGCGTCTTTATCAGCTGTTATTCCCAACTGACACATCTACTAGATTTGTCAGATTGGCCACACCTGGGAATCCTTAAGTCTCTGATATTTAATGCCTTTATATGTGAAAATAAAAATATTGAATGTGTTTGTATTTCAAAATAAAACTAAGTTTAATTTGTATTTCATAACAAAGTTCTATATATTTTTTTACATTTACAATGAAACAATATTTTGCCATTATATTTCAGAGAAAAAAAACTACAGAAACAACCAGACAGTTAATTTTCAATAATCTGAACGTCTTCGTCTTCTTTACTGTTTTTATCGTCTTCTCGGTTCTACGTCTTCTTGTCTTCTTTCACTAACAGACAAGCCTGTCAGAACACTTTACTTTCTTTGCTTTGTTGGTGTTGACCAATGGGAAGAGAAGAGACTGTAACTATGGCAACTGTGTAGTCAGATTATGAATTCAGTCCTCTTAGTTTGGAAGACGATCCAGTCAGTGTTGGTCAGTTTTTATAGACAGATTCTGATGTAGCGCCTCAGACACCCACACTTCTACAACCTCCACAGGGGAAACTCTTTCATTACCTCTGGAACCTCCTTAGAGAGGTATTTGTTGTCTCCAAGAACCACTGAAACATCTGGAACACTCTCTAAATATACAGAGAGACCTGTAGATCTTCACCTTTATGAACCTCAAAGCATTACCAACACTCTTGAAAGAACTCTAAAACCTCCGTCATTACCTCGAGAACTTCATCAACACCTAAAACCTCCTGAGAGACTTTTTTGAGGTGTTCAAGAGCCATGAAAACCACTTCTGGGATCCTTTAAATATCTTCAAAGACCTGCACATGTTGACTTTTTAAGGATCTCTGGAATTTCAAGACTTCTACAGCCTCCACAAAGATGACTGGTACCTCACTGGAGACCTCTTAAACCTCCGTCATAACCTCTGGCGCTTCTGAAACACCCCAACATGGATATCTAGAACTTCCTCAGAGACTTCTTTAATGTATTAAAGAACAACTAACTACATATCTTGAAAGACCTGCGTGTCCTTTCTTCTTAAGGTTCTTCAAATACGACTGACACAGCCTTTTTAACCTCCTTCATTTCTTCTGAAAGTTCTTCATCGCCTCCCACATCTCCTCAGAGATTCCTGAAGGTGTTCAAGAACCAGTTAAAGCTCTAGAAATGTGGAACCCTCAATGTCCTGAAAGACCTGCACTCTATCTTTTAAGAACCTTTAAGCATCACTGACACCAAACGTCCTTCATTACCTCTAGGACTTCTTCATGACCTCAATGTGGATGTCGAGAAACTCTTCTGAGATTTCTTTTTTGTGTTCAAGAACCACTGAATCCTCAGAAACTTTCTAAACATCCCGAGAGACCCACAAATCTTGTTTTGAAAAGGATCTCTCGAACTTCAATACTACTTCAACCTCCACGAAGATAACCCTTCCCAGAGACCTCGAAGGCCTTTTTTGTTACAACTGGAACTTCTTGAATGCTTCAACATGGACATAAGTATAGGCGACTGAGTTGCAGAACATTCCAAAGCAAGACCAAAAGAATCCAGAGACCCTCTCCCACAGCTGTGAATTTGGTAAGAAACCACTTCAGAAGACAGCGAACCCAAAACTCACCTAAATGGAACATCAACAGATCAGATGTTTACCTCAAAATGATCACTCACGGCCCTCATGGAAACAACAGGACATCTCCAACCTCAACCAAAATCTGATTAGGGTCATGAAGAGTCAATTCTGAGGAAAACCACACCTCTGGATCAGATTGCATTATTCATTCTGACCTCTTGACCTTTATCTTCCCCTAACTCAGAACTTTCTGTTCAATTGACTGAACAGTTTAAACCGTCTCAGCCATAAAAGACATAGAGGGAGGCATTTTGTTCTCAGCGTATATATTTGTTAAGACCTACTTTTCTTGTAATTGAATGCATATGCTTGTGCTCTTTGTTATAAGTTTACTTCCAGAAATTCTACGCTTTGTGAGTTTATTCTTATGTTTGCACCTTTTATTATTATCTCAAGAACCATATGAGGTAAACGCATCATGTCTGAAGTCATTTTGATCACGTGTTCAGTGGGATTTCAGATCTGTGATCATCATAGATATGTAACTACTGGATCTGTACATTTAAGAACTTCACTTAGATAAAGGTATTTGGCCTCTGACCTCTCCTGGACAGTGAAGCTCAAGACCCCCCTAGGGTTGAACACATCCATGATTGGTCAGATGCTGATTTGAATGAGGCTCCACAACTTTCTACATAAAAGAAAATCACTGGAATGCAACAGTGGCTTTTGTTTTCTAATATTTCACCGGGCTTGTTACTTGATTACTTATACTGGGCTTTCTCCTCATTTTCGGCTTAGACAACGTGAGCTTTTTCTTAATAGATAGCTATGGCTCATTTTTACTCAAGCTTTTCTACAACTTGAGTTTGTTTTTCTATATTTTACTTGTAGTTGGGCCACTTAAGCTTCTTTTACAGTGCAACAGAACAAACATTTCCTTTGTAACTATGAACTTTGACTCGATGCCGTCTTGTCCCTACGCTCATCACAGCGACACATCCTGCAGCGGCCTCCCTATCCCTCCTACAACGGTGAATGGGTGAATTTGCAAATTATGATCGGCTTCTCAAGTCCAAAGTGACAACCGCTCTACCAGCTGCTTCCAGTGACGATCACAGTTCATTACTGGTTTATCTGTAGCTATTTATTCACTGTTTGTTACGTCGTTGTTGTTTATTGTGTGTTTGTAGTATTAGCTAGTTAGTGTTTGTGTTTAATTAGCTTCAGTTCTACCGTGTATTTCTTTGTTTGGGAACCGTCAATGAAATCAGAGTTCACGATAATGAGGCTGATCAATACAAGTAGATTTGATTATTTATTGATATTTGTTCTAAAATATTACAGATAACGGTCTGTCAGACGACTTATTTAAAATATCTGAGTGGTGCCCATGAAAAACGAATTTTAATGATAAAGTTCAGCTGTATGAAGTATTTCCGCTACATAAGGAACAACATGGACCTCCTTCTTTAAGGTGTTCAAGAACCACTAAAACTTTTGAATTCTCTCTAACCATCCTAAAAGAATCTGCAGGTCTTGTCTTTTGGAGGTTCTTCCAGCACCACCGAGACATTTGTTTGTTTACCTTGTTCAATCCTTGATTCCTCCTCCCTGGTGACATCACACAGGTTGGGAAACACAGCAAGCTCTGATTGGCCGGCTACCAACACATTTTTGCTTTAGAAACTACCAACGCCCCAGAGGACAAAACATCATCAAATAATCAATCAATCTGAAATCATCGATCAACTGATGGATAAGCAGAAAATCCTGATAATCACTAAATCTGTACATTTCAGTCATTTTTCTAGCTCAACATTCAAACTCCTCGTGCTAAACTTTACCAAAGTGCAAATGTGAAATGAAAACATTGCACAAACGAGGTGATCAATAACTGTTTCAGTCTTTATTCAGGGATAAACGATTGATTATAAACAAATATTTCTGTATCGATCACATGAAGCTGAAAAATAAAAACATGATTCGTTCCTTCAGGGCCTCTGTACGAAGAATTCAAGACGCAGCCGCTTCGATCAGGTTCCTCTGACATGTCATCAAGGTGGTTACCATGGTTACGTCGTTCCAGGACTGTCTCCCCCTGGTGGTGCGTTCAGGTCCTGCGCTGCTCCTGTTCTTTCCGCCTCTGTTTCTCCTTCTGTTTTTCCAGTTTGTCCAGAGCTTTTCGTTCCTTCTCGGCTGTGTTCTGGACGTCTTTGATGCGTCTCTTCAGAGCGCTGCGGTCAGACGAACTGAGCACGCCCAGACCCTACAGGAAGCGACAGGATGCTCAGGTGTTTGTTCCCTTTGTTTTTACAATCAGTCAGAAAATTCTCCTAAAATGGGCTAAAGCTTTAGTTTTTTTTTTTTTTTAGTTTCCGGTTTTAATGTCTAAGTTCATCTCAGGGTTTAGTCACTGTTGTTTTGCATCTTTTGTTGTCATCTTGTGCCTCATTTTAGTCAATTTGAGTCTTAATTTGGTCATTTTGTGCCCCTTGACGTGGTTTTGTGAATCATTTCAGTCAATTGATACCTCATTTTGGTTATTTTGTGCCTCATCTTAGCCAATTTTTGCCTCATTTTATTCATTTTATGCATCTTTTAGTCGTTCTGTGTCTCATTTTGTTTGTTTTGTGCCTCATGTGGGCCATTTTGTGCATCTTGTAGTTGTTTTGACATTTTGGTCAATTTGTGCCTCATGTGGGCCATTTTGTGCATCTTGTAGTTGTTTTGACATTTTGGTCAATTTGTGCCTCATTTTTAGTCAATTTTTTCCTCATTCTGGGTCTCTTTCAGACATTTCATGCCTCATTTTTGTTGTTTTGTGCCTCATTTTTGTCATTTTGTGACTCATTTTTTAAATTCTGTGCCTACTTCTGTGAAATTTGGGACTAATTTTGTTCATTTTGTGTCTAATTTTACTTGTTCTGTGCCTTATTTTGGTCATTGTGGTCCTCATTCTTATCATTTCATAGCTCATTTATTTATTGCATGTCTCATTTTGGTCATTTTTCACCTATTGCGATGAGAAATAATCTGTGCAGCTGCTGAATCTCTTTTCTAACAGATAACAGAAAAATCTGCTTTTGATATTTAAAAAGTTGTGACTCAGTCTCTCCATCATTTTGACTATGTATTTTTATTTATGTTCTTTTGAACTTTTGATCATCACATCCCTGTTTTTTTGAGAAAGTTTGAGAATTTATTCCAATGTATTGAATTAGTTGTCGCCTTAAAAGAAGAACCTCCGTCCACGTCACCTCACCTTCAGCTTGTTACTGTCCATCTGCAGCAGCTGTTGTCCATCAATGTCTCTCGCAGTGAATTCTGGGACATACTGGTCCATGTTGAGTCCTCGGAGCCACTGACAGACCTGCTGAGTCGACCAGGACGACACCAGAGGGGACGGTTCATCACAAGGCTGTGGACCAAAAACAAGAACCAGAGCTGAGGTCTGGCTTTTAGCTGGAAAACACACAAATCCTGCACATCTTAGAGTCATTTTGTAAAAAGATAACTAGTCCAGGTTTAGGAAGTGCTAGAGTTTAGGAACATCTGTAGCACATTTAGGAGGTTCTAAAGTTCCTGTTGTACGTTTAGTACAATTTCATGTGCCTCTGGAAAAAAATCTGTTAAAAAGTGTGAAATTTGGATCCACCTTTATGGACTTCAAGGGCCTGTAACTCTGAAAATATTCATAGTATGAAGGTAAAACTTTTCATGGCTTCAGTAAGTATACCAAAGTTATTGTAGATTTCAAAAAAAAATTCAGTTGATCATGGTGGAGTTTTGTCAGGTTTATCAGGATTTTTCACCTCGTCGGAGGACTGCGACAGCGTCTGGTATGGATGGGAGGATCTGGAGGAGGACGAGTCGATGGGAGGAGAGGTGGAGGAGGAGGTGTGAGGAGGAGAAAACTCCTCGCTGAGAGCCGACTCCTGCAGGATGAAACCAAAGCAAGTTGAACATCATCAATCTGCCAGCATCATACTAACACCTTCTCAGGTTTGTGTGTTTTTGTTTTTCTAAAAATGAAGAAAAAAAAAAAGGCCTCAGTTTGTCCACATTAGATCAATTTAAGCTTCAATGTCAAACTTAAAATCACCATCATGGTTTTACTAAATGTAAAAACTACACATCTTAAATCAAACCAGTGTAGAATTAATTTTTCAGAATGATGCACCTCGAAATGAAAACCCTGATTTCTAAATGAGTCTTTGTTCTGTTTTCCATGTGATTGAAAGTAAACACAGAACTCACCCTCCTGGAACTTTACCTCAGTTAAATTTTTGTCCAAATTAGGAACTATTTCATTTGATATTTTCATAAATTTCCAACAGACAGAGTAAAATAAAGAACTGTGTGTGTGTTTGGATGTTTTTGTTCTTTTATTTTGAAGGTCAACAGGTTATAGAAGCATAAAAGTGCCCAATGTTCTTGGTTTAGGCAGCTTAGTTTGTTCTAGAGTTTCTTTAGGAGGTTCTAGGGTTTGCTTAAGGATTTAGGTGGTTTTAGAATTCATTTAGGAGCTTCTTGATTTCATTTAGAAGGTTTCACAGTTCATTTACGGAGTTCTAGAATTAATGTAGGAGGTTCTTGTGTTTATTTAGGAGGATCACTTAGTTGTTGAGCTTATTTAGGTGGTTCTAGAATTTATTTAGGGGGTTGTAGAGTTTGTTTATGTTGTTTTTTGGTTCCTAAGTAGTTGTTGAGTTTATTTGGAGGTTCCCAAGTTCATTTAAAAGATTCTTAGGCTAATTTAAGAGATTCCAGGGTTTATTTAGGAGGTTCTAGAGTTTACTTTGGAGGTTTAGGAGGATCTAGAGTTCATTTAAAATGTTCTAGAGTTCATTTAAGAAGTTTAGAAAGTTCTGGGGATTATTTAGAAGGTTCTGGAGTTCATTTGGAGTTAGTTTAGGAGGTTTTAACATTCATTTATGAGGCGATTCTTTGGTTCACCCAAGAGGTTCTAGAGTTAATCTTAGGCCGTAGACTTGTTTGTTTACTGTGTTCTGGTGGGGTTTTTTTTCGCTTTAATTTGTTCCTTTTCTGCTTCACTTTTTGGTGTGAATGGACATTTTCCACAGCAGATCCAGTGTTTGCTTTTGCAGTTTTTCTTCTTCCGCCTTTTTCATGTTTTCTTTGGGGAGCAAATGTTCTGAATATTGAGATGTATTGATCCGGAATCACTCAGAACTGAAGCCTATTAGAGCCATCAGCAGCTCTCTGATGGAAGATAATGGAGTCTAATGGAGACACACACTGTCATAAACACACACACACACACACACACACACACACACACACAGAACAAACCACAGTGTTGATCATGTGACTCTGGGTGTGTTTTGGTGGTTAAAAGGCTGCAGGACGAGTAAACTGCAAAAATCAATGCACACAAACAGACACACACTGTGTGTTTCACCTCCAGACACACAGACTTCATTAAAGCTACACTCAGAACCTTTGTGTTGTCACTGGATCAGCAGGAGAATTCATGGTTCCAAAGGTTCTCTCAGAGCGACACCGTATTGTTTTAGCATAGTCTTAAAGGTTTTGAATGCTGGCTCCGTTTTTTTGTTATTCATTCGTTTGTGTTTTCTTTTTCTGTCTCTCTTTGTCTACCTGTAAGGTTTGTGATCCTTTTCTGTTACTTCCTGTTTTATTTTGAAATTGTCTTTCCTCACGTGTCGATTGTGCTTTTACTTCTTTTCTTTAAAATCTTTAGTTTCACCCGTGTTGTCTTCCTTCCTGTTGTTCTATCTCATGTTCTCCTGCTGGATTCTCTTCGTCACTTCCTGGTTTGCACATTTGTGGGTTTTTTTTATAATTGCCCTCGTTTTTGTTTTTGTACCTTCTGGATTCTTCTTCTTTTGCATTTTGTTTTCTTGGGATTATCTTCTTTTGATATTCTCTTTGGATGTAGTTCTACTACAACAGGACTCTCCAGCCGCCTTCAGCACTTTATATGAAAGTTTGTATTTTGCTACCTGAACTTTGGCTCCATATTAGAACAATCCTGACAGTCTGTTGTACAAAGCTTCACCGTTCACTTCACACAGATGAGGAGGTTTTCAGCTGGAATGGTTCTGATTCTGGACAAACTGAAGACTTTTCGAACCTCCATCAGCTTCTGGAAGCCGTGGCTCCTCTTTCCTTCTATGATTGAGTTTAGCTGTTCTGGATTTCATTTAGGAGTTTAAGTTTTTCTAGAGTTTATTTAGGTAGTTGCAAAGTTCATTGAGGAGAATTTTAGAGTTAATTTTTGATGTTCTAGAGTTAATTTAGGCAGTTTAGGTGTCTGTTAATGTTATTCATGAGGTTCTAGAGTTCATCTACAAGATTATATAGTTCATTCAGGACATTCTAGAGCTCATTGTTAATTGTGACAGTTTGAGAGTGCATGTTGGCTCTTTGGGCAGTTCTAGAGTTCATTTAGGTGTTTCTAGCATTCGTATGGGAGGTTTAGGGAGTTCTAGGGTATATTTAGACGGTTCTATAGCTCACTGAGGGGGTTTAGGTGGTTCCAGAGTTGATTTACAAAGTTGTGAAGTTTGACAATCCCTATAGGAGGTTTGTGTGGTTCTATCATTTTTACGGGGTTCTTGATTTAGACAGTTCTAGAGTGGGCGTAAGAGGTTCTAGATTTTACTTTGGAAAGTTTAGAACCACCCATTCCTGTAGTTCCAGAATTACTGTAGGATGCTTTGTTGGCTCATTTAGTCAGTTCCATAGTTCATTCAGGCAAACGTAGAGTTCATGTAGGAGGTTCCACAGCTCATTTAACGAGGTTAATGTGTTTTAAATGATATATGGAGATGCAAAGTTAATTTAGGTGGTTTTGGTGGTTCTGGAGTTCATTTGAGAGGTTGTAGGCTTGATGCAGGAGATTTCGGTAGATCTAGAGTTTTAGGAGGTTCTACAGTACCTGGATGATGTTTAGGCTGTAGAGTTCATTCAGCCGGTTCCATAGTTCATTCAGGTGATTCTAGAGTTATTATAGAAAGCTCTAGAGCTCACATAAAGTTTTGTGTGGTTCTAGAGTTTGTTTAGATGATTGCAAAGTTGATTTAGGTGCTTTTGGTGGTTCTAGAATTTGTACTGCTAATTCCAACAGTGTCCTCTCTAATGTTTGTCCAGCTGTTAATAAAATACTTCCCACTAACTAAAGAAGAAGAACTTGTGAAGAAGAGATACTCAGACTGAGTGAATTTAAAGTGTTCTGACAGGTGAGCAGGGTGGGTTCTGTTGGTACCTGGCTGTGGGACTTTCGGGGTCTCGGGGAGCTCAGCGGGGGCAATTTGGGGGAACAGGGTGGCGTCCCTGAGGAGGACAGAGAACCTCGGCCTTCAGTGAACCAGGAGAAGGACACGAAGGATCCGGAGGAGCGAGACGGACTCTCAGACGGTTCTCTGAGGATGGAGAACAGTGTCAGAACGGAACACATTGGTCACAGGTAGACCTGACGGGGTTCTGTTCGGTACTGACCTGCTGCCCACAGACAGCCGGTTGGATTTATCTTTTCTCACTCGGATGTAGGAACGTCTGAGCGTCACCCTGAGACAGAGGACAGAGACACAGCAGGAAAATGAGGAACCCACATGAGGAACCTGTTCAGGTGACATCCAGCAACACACAACTACACAAACACATCCAGCCAATAAACACAAGAAAACACAAACATGGAGGTAAAAAAAAAAGGTATTACAGGTGTGTGTGTGTGTGTGTGTGTGTGTGTGTGTGTGTGTGTGCTACAAATGTGAGTTACCCGAGGTCCAGGAAGCGTCTCTTGGTTTTCTTATCAAAGACAACAGTCGGACTTCCAGGATCAGCTGGACTGGTGTCTCGACTCGTATCAGAGACCAACACTGTCACACACACGCACGTGCGCACACACACACACACACACACACGAGTATTTGTAGTATATGAAGCAATAATCATTTTAAGGTTTCTGATGTTCTCACAGGTATGAGCATGTGTTTCCCATACAGGTGTGTGTTGTCGTCTCTCCAGGTGTGTGTACCTTCACTGTCAGGCCTCCTGTTTCTCCTCAGGTAGACAGGGGAGCAGTCGGAGGAGGGGCAGGATTTTGATGGTGAACTGCTGGGCGTCACTAGAGCCTCCTGAGACGTGGCATTGGTCAGCTGATGGTACCGCCCCCGTGGGGGAGCAGCCAATGAAGCACCTCCATCCTCTGGAGAGCGACGCACCTAAGGAGTCATATTGATGTAGATTTTTTCTGGCGATCTGTTCCTGTACAACGTTTACACCTGATTGGTCTCACCAGTGATGTGTCAAAGGAGAAGCCGGGGCTTCGAGCCGACAGCAGCGAATCAGGAGAGGGGGAGGAGCCTCGCATGGCCAGGTGTAGTGGTGAGCGGGCAGAGTGCTGTGGACTGTCCTGAAAACACATTTTAATATCATTACATGTCAAATTCTTCGCACATTTTGTCCAACATTTGAACACCTCTGATCATTGACCTTCGTCGACTCTCAGTCTGAACTCTACCTTTCTGTCGAGGCTGTCGTCGCCCTCAGTCGAGCTCACGCTGTCACGGTAACGGGACCTGGAGGGGCGGTGCCTCCGTGTTTTGACAGACAGCTGGGCTCGGCCTTTCTGGATGCTGTTGTCCAGCAGCTCGGTCTCAGGTATCGCTTCGTTCAGGTCTGAAACACACAGTGACTTACTATCAGCATACATCACATGGAGGTACTAGTACTTCAGAAAACAGTGCAGGTACTTCAGCTGCTGTCTGCAGTGCATCATGGATGTACAGGCAATGATCACTTATTATAGAGAAACTAAACCAGGTCTGTGTTCTCCAAGTGTTCTGCATGTGTTCTCCAGGTGTTCTGGTGGATTGTTTGGTTGAAGCTGCTCTAATGTTTATGGAGTATTTGCTGGGAGTTGACTCCAAACTATCTGACACCACGTCAACAGAGACACACTAGCCAATAAAATGAACACTAAAACAAACAAAATGACCAGAGGGAGATTAAAACTGACTAAAAGAAACAAATCAAAATGACGAAGAGACACACAAAATTACTACAAACTAGTAAGAGCCACAAATCAGACACAAAAACACCATAAAGAGACACAACCTGAGCTCAGAGAGACAGAATCAGTCGACTCCAAACCGATGTCAAAAAAGTTGTCGCTGTTACTGCATTTAGATAAAAAATGGAGTTTAAACTTTACAAACTTAAGCTAACATTTTATGTCTGTGGATGTTAAAATACTGAATGAATGAATGAGTGAATGCAGCCGGTGCAGATCTGCTGTTTGTGCTGCAGGTTATTTTGTGATGATGCTACAAGTTTTAACTTAATGAGCTCTTCATCCTCTTCTTCCTCCCACTAACCCATCAGGACGGCATCAAATATTCAACATGCTGACCATCAACGCAGGCGCGCGCGCGCACACACACACACACACACACACACACACACACACACACACCATTACAACCCTAAAACAAAATCTAACTTAAACCTCAAAACAGGTCACAACCCTTAAACACACTCATCCTAGAAAGACGGAAATGTCCCCACAGTGCAGAAATGTACTAAGTATACTATATTATATTATATTATTATTATATTATTATTATATTACTTTTTAGATATTATTACTGTTGCACATGAGCAGAGAAGAACATAAGGACTTGAGTCTTTCCTCCCCCACACTGAGCTGACAGCAGTTTATTTCCCAGGGGAGAGGACAGAGGGGGGATGTAAACTAATGGAGGGGGGGAGGAGAAGCTGGATGAAGGATGGAGCGAAGAGACATTAGATGACTGATAGAGATAAAGAGTGAGAGAGGTGAGGAGGAGGAGGATGGATGAAACACATCTAGCTGGATGGACTCAGTGATGTTAAAACACTGTAGAAGATATGTGACAGAAACACAACCACGTGAGGCATAACAGGCCAAAAATGTTTCACAGATTGACCAAAAATGAGGCAAAAATGACCAAAATGAAACACAAATTGACAAAATAAGACACAAAACAAACAAAATCAGTCACACAGCAACGGAAATGAGGCACAAATTGACCCAAATAAGACACAAAATACCCCAAATCAATTATAAAACAACCAAAATCTGTTGCAAAACCATGAAAATGGAACAATAAATGACCAAAATGAGGAACAATGTAACCAAAATAAGGAACAGAATGATAGAAAATGCCAAAAATTAGGCACGAAATGTCCAAAATGAGCGACAAAACAACCACTCCACAATATTTTGTACTATTTTTGTGTTTCCTCTTTCTTGCCTCACTCCTCTCTGATGTGGGCGTGGCTTCCCTCTGATTGGCTGCCTTCTCACCTGCACTTCCTCAGTTTCTTATCTCATCAGCAGAAGTCAGATCATCTTCACCTGCAGAAGTTTCCTTCTGTGAGTTCAGGTGAACCTTGAGTGATCCTGCAGGTGCGTCCCAACAGCACAGTCGACCAATCAGCACGCAGCGTCCTCTGTGTGTCTAACAGGCAGTTTGATGTGTTGAATCAACTTGTGTCTCTCTATTCCCCATTTCTGTTTATTTGTTCCCTCTTTGTGCATCTCTGTGCTGGTTTTTGTCTCTTTGTCATCATATTGTGGATTTTGGTGATTGTTTTGGGTAGTTTTGTGTCTTTGTGTTCTTTTTTAATATAAAAATATATATAACATTTTGCACAAAATGACCAAATTGACACACAAAACAACCTAATGTCTCCTTGCTGTAGCCTTCGTGTTCATGTTACATCTCTTTTTTTCCCCTGTTTATTGCCTTTTTGTGCTGGTTTTGTGTCTCTGCAGCCATTTAATATGACTTAATCTGTTTGCAATGAATCATGAAGCGTCACGTTTTATTTGCTTCTGTCTCTTTCTTGTCTTTTGCACATCTTTGGTTGTTTTTGTGTCATTGTCGAACATCTTAGAATTTGTTTTGAGTAATTTTGTGAGTCTTTGTGGTCCCTTTGTGTCTTTTTGCTGTAGTTTTGCTGTAGTCTTTCTTAAAAAACATTTTTTCATCTATTTGTGTCTCTTTTGATCAGTTTTAAACTCTTCCTGGTCGTTTTGTGTCTCATTTGTGTTCATTTTGCATCTTTGCATTCTCTTTGTATTTGGTTCTGTTCCTCTGTGGCTTGTTTGTGTCTCTTTTGTGTGACTTTGTTGCTGTTTTGTGTACGTCTACTGTTGTCCGTTAGTTTGACTCCCAGTAAACGTAAATGTTTCTCCATCCACCAGATCACCTGGTGAACACCTGAGGGGTATACTGAAAATCAAGTTTGACATAGCCAGGCTTTCTTTGTCCAGGCTCGAAAAAAACTAAAGGCGCAATCAGAGATAACGTGTATCACGACGGTGGTTGTCAACTTTCTATGTCAACTCAGACTTTCTGCTTCAAACTTTGTGTTCGTTCACATAAAAGGAGGCGTTTAACGCGTCACGTGACTCTTCTTCTACACAAAATGAGACAATCCTGTGCAGCTGCTTCAGTCAACACATTATTTTAATGGATAATAGTCAGCAAACGATTTGGTTAAAGGGAGACCGAAACTCTAAACATATTGTCCTCCGGACCAGGTTAGCTTCACAGCATCAGTTACCATGGAGATCTAGCAGGTTAAAAGAGAGCCTCCTTCATGACACTGAAAACTCTGACTTCAAGCTCAATATACCTCAATAACCCACTAATCTCGCTTCATAGTACAGCCCTCTGGTCAACACTTGGAGGTCTGTAATCAGTGCTGTTGAATTATCCTGCAGCTTCAGTCACTGTGCAGCAGGTGTTAAAATAAATCATCACATGTTTCAGTGACCAGCAGACGGCGGTAAAGCGCAGACATGCAGCAGTGCAGCAACACAAACTGAAAACACAAGTTCATAAAATCCTCAGTAGTTCCGACGGTGATTAAAGCTGAAGTTCCATTTGAGTACAGAGATGAGACGTTCTAAAGCAGGTTGTAATTGATAAAAAATATTCCTGTAGAGGTTCTGAGACTCACCGAACACGTTGTCTGAATCATCCAGGCCGGCAGACATGACTCAGCAGGTTCTGTTCAACACACCGACACAAACACAAACACAAACACAAAGTTATTCTTTAAAGCAGCGATCCGTCAGCTGAGATCTGAGTTTAAAAATGAAACGAGAAGAAAAACTAGAAAGAAAAAGAACATTTTTACAAAGAAAAGCAGTTGCTAAGGTGCAGCCAATAAAACCAACCTGCTGAAACCTCTGAAACTACACATGGCAACAGCTGTAACCATGGCAACCACTGTAGCCATGGTAGCAGCACACATTAAGATAGCTGTAGCCATGGTAACTGTACACATGAAGATAGCTGTAACCATGGCAACAGTGCACATTAAGACTGCTGTAACCGTGGCAACCACTGTAACCATGGTAACAGTAGACATGAAGATAACTGCAACCATGGTAACTGTCCACATGTAGACAGCTGTAACTATGGCAACTGTACACATGACGACAGCTGTAACTGTGGCAACTACTGTTACCATGGTAACTGTACAGATTAAGACAGTTGTAACCATGGTAACTGGCCATATTACACAGTTGTAACAATGGCAACTATACACACCAGGACAGCTGTAACTGTGGCAACCACTGTAACTGTGGTAACTGTGAGCATGGAGACAGCTGTAATCATGGTAACGGCCATGATGCTGAATGCTGAATGCTGATTTTGGGTTTGAATTTGAATGCTGAATGCTGTTGTTGTTGTTGATTTTATGTTGGTGTTGTGTTGTTTTTTCTGGTGTAGCAATTTCCCTGAGATTTTGTACCGAAGGGGTCAATAAAGTTTTATTCTATTCCATTCTATTCTATTCTATGACAGGTTTGATCAGTTTCATTATTTTTACCTAAAACATCAGTTTTGATGTTTTGCTTGGAAAGCAAGCGCTCAGTGATGTTCCTGGTTTCAGAATAAAAGCAGATGCGCTCTGAGGCAGCATCTGACCCATTTCACTGTTTCTGATCAGCTGATGAATCATCACTCAGTTGTTCAGTTGCCGTGGAAACGTGTCCGCCCTGCTGTCAGGCGGTTTGTGTTGTTGTGAATGTGATGTTGTGTAGATCAGTACTGAGCAGATCCTGAATCCAAAGCTGCAAACATGTTGTTCTGTCTGACCAAGAACTCAAAATATTAAATGTAATCTAACGGAAGGAACCCAGAAATGCTATAAATTCCTATTTTTTACTTTTTTGTTTGTTTGTTTGTTTAGAAATGACTTAAATGATATCAAGTCCTTTTATTAAAATAAAACCAGGCGTGTCTGCAAATTTAAAGTAAATGATTTAAAAAAAAAAAAAAAAAATCTAAATAACACAAAAAATCCAGAGGTACAGTAACTAGATTTTCATTTCTTTTCTTTTCATTTTTATTTTTATTTTTATAAAGACTCAAAATTTGTCCTTGATGACAAAAACATGTTTAAATTACAAAAGATGCATCCATAATGACATATGGGGGAAAAAAAACCCAAAAAACCCAAAGATTTTTCAACAGGGATTCAGAAAGAATGATTGTGTAAAAAGTTTCTCAAATAACCTATTTTGTTGAAGTTCTGTCCTCAAGAGAACCTTCTGCAAAAAGCACCAAAAATCTGTTTTACTGTCTGATACATGATGGTTTTCTGTTTTCTTGTGTGATTCTGTGTCACGCTGTGTCTGTTTTGTGTTTGTCTGTCTTGTATCTTTTCATGTTGTTGAGAATTTAAAGTTTAAAAAAAAAAAAAGAACAGAACCAGCAACAAAACAGAACCGAAAGGACACAGAACAGAACCAGTCAGGGGGGTAAATCTGGGCAGGAAGCCCAACAGAAAGGCCATCTGTTGCCCCTGTGGGGGCAGGAAGCAGATGGACTCTGTGGAACCTACAACATGACACACAACACAACCAGCAGGGAACGTTCCCACCACATCAGATAACATTATCCACAAGTTTGAATGTTTTAAGAACGTTTTAGGGATATTTGTCATTTTAAATAATGTTCCTGTGAGGCCAAAACACATCACGTGACAGCAGTCTTGTAATGTCATATCATTAGTTGTGTCGTTTCATGTTGTGTCTTTTGTTGTGTTATTTTGTGTCGTGTTGTTGTTGTGTCATAACTTTGGTTGTGTTGTGTTGTTGTCATCTTGTGTAGTGCAACTTTGTCATACTGTCACTTATAATTTGCATCATGCAACATTATGTCGTGTGTTAAGTCACATGTCTTGTTGTGTTTGTTGTATCTTGACATGTCAGTAGGTTGTTGTGTTTTTTTGTGTCTTCTTCAAGTTCCTCTAATGTTGTGCTGTTGCTGTGACGTCTGTGTGCTGTTGTCATTTAGTGCAACATGTTGTCATGTCCTGCTGTGGTTCGATGTTGTGTGTTTTTGTCTCGTGTTGCGTTGTTTCTTCAGGTGTTTTGTATTTTGTTGTGTCGTGTGTGACTCCGTGTCACGTTGTGTCTGTGTTGTGTATTGTTGTCGTGGCTTGTGTCCTGCTGAATTTCCTGTTTGTTGTGCTGTGTCATGTTATGTTGTGTGACTTCACTGCTGCACTGACCAACACTCCCAACATGTACACAGCACACACACACACACACACACACACACACACACACAGACAGACACACAGACACACACAGAGACTCACACACATGGACGCACACAGACACCCAAACACACTGACACACACACAGACACACACACAGTAACACAAAGCGCAGCTGATTCCCAGCAGACTGAAGCTTCAGCAGGAAAATGCAGCGTCAGACTGAGATGTTTGACAGCAGAAAGACAGAAAGATGAAGGCTGAGACGGAGATCAAACTGAGGTCAGTCAGAGATGAATCAGGGATCAATCACAGACAGATGAACACAGACGAAGCTGTAATATGAAGCAGGTAAACACAAACACTCACCTCTCTGTCTCTGCCTCTCTGATCAGCCTCTCTGCCTCCTCCAGCAGCAGGACTGCGTCTCCCAGAGTTCCACGGGGCGCTGCTCTGCCCGCAGCAGTGCAGCAGCAGCAGGAGGATTGTGGGAGCTGTAGTCTGCTGTCAGCCGGATGAGGAGAGGAACGCTGCCTCAGAGCTGCTCAGCAGAATACTGCAGCCTCCATCTGACAGCTCCAAGGACAGCAGGAGGAGCCACGTGATTGGACAGGACAGACAGAGGGGGCGGGGCATGTTTAGGACTGACTAATAGTGAATAATACCCCACAGAGAAAAAAGATTCATCAACTAGAAAAAAAACAATGAAGAGGAAAAAATAAAGAATGACAAATATAAATGAGGAAAAACATTTTTAAAGATAGAAAATATGAAAGACAAACAAATGTCATGTCATTGTTGAAAGTCTATTAAATGAAAAGGAAATATGTGTAAAAAAATACAGATCTTTAAAAAAAAATGTTGCATTTACGGACACATGTAGCTTAGGAACATTAAACAGGCGGTGAATTACTGGAATTGTCTTTGAAAGTTAAAAGCAGTGCATTAGGGACATGTTGTTTTTGAACATTTAACTTGTGATGCATTCATGGACATGTGTGGTTTACAATCGTTAAACATGTGGTGCATTCAGGGACAGGTGTGTTTTTAAACAATAAACGTGATGCATTCAGGGACACATGGTTTTAGACATTAAAGACACGATGCTGTTTTTTTTTCTTTCAGAAATCTTTAATCCTTTAGATTCTTTTTCAGACGGACGTCTTTCCAACACATGGTGGTGCTAAAGCAACTGCTCTGATTTTATCTGTTCTCGCTCCATCACTTGTTCCGTCGCCTGATGTGTGTTTCTGGTTTTGCAGAACTCTACGAACACTGACATCTGCTCATCATTGTGTCCAGTTTGGACTCAGGGGTTCTCTGTTTGGTGCTGGTGGTGGTGATGAGCGCTGTGGGGAAGAGAGTCTTCATGTCCCGGGCCGCTGATGTCTCCAGTTACTTGTCACATGTGTCTCAATTGGGAACCGTCCTCACAGCCACTCAGCCAGTTGTTGGACTCCAGCAGCCTCGTGCACTTTGCGTTGTTCTGACATGGGTAATGAGTGCAGACAGGTATCCTCCTGGAGTAGTGCACAGAAACCTTCCCTCCATAGACACTCCAGCTGCAGTCGACTTCTTGCAACATGTTGGACGTTCTGCAAAACTCTGTCCACTGTTAAAGGTCACATGTGTTACTTTTGTGTGTTCTATAAGAACTACTGTGGGGTAAACAGAGTCAGTACTCCAACCTGGCACATAATAGGTCTTCTTTCATAATTATTTGATCCCAAAGTTCACATAATTGGTTTTGAAAGCAGCTTTTGGCTGTTACTGTAACTCAATCTTTATGAAACTCATCTGCTCTCATAGTGTTGTCTGTGAAGATTCTAGGTCATGGTTATTCTGGTAGATTAATCGTAGCAACTGGACTTGTTTGAGTTCCTTGAAGACGTTTCATCTCTCATCCAAGAGGCTTCATCAGTTCTGACTGACTAGTTGAGAGTTCCAGATACTCAGAAGATGAAACTACATTCACATCTCGCCACAAAAGACCCTCACGAACCCGTTTGTGGCAGGTGGAGCACTAACGACTCACATAATGAGGGGGAGGAGCAGCAAACCCCCAATTGAAACCGAAAAGAGCTCTTAGAGATGTATTGATATTGCACTGATTTCTCTGTAAGTAGAAAAAAAATGTTGCATAAATTCTAGTATATGTGTAAAAGTAGATATTGCAGAGTTTTTAAAAGTATAAAATATTCATAATTCACAGCTTTGTGCTGATATTGCATTTAAAAGAAGTGTAACAAAAATGGACCGAGTATGTGAAGCCCATAAGGTCTGACTGCATAACTTTCATTGTTTCAAGTAGATGGAAACAGTTTTTTATTGTAACGGTGCATAAATGTTATTTTGTAAACATAATCAAAATGAGTGTTAAAAATAAAAATTACAACAACAAAAAGAAGTGTAACGGGTCTTCTGTCTACTGGGAGCAGATCTGGTTGTAGAGTCTGACAGCAGCAGGATGGAGGATCTGCAGAATCTCGGCTGTACTGATCCATCGATGGGCTCAACAGATGGACCAGAACCCCAGAACCAGCCTGTCCAGGGTCCCCATTAGCTACAGACCAGAGCTGCTGCTGAAGTCTTTGGGAGGAGGGATCTTTGGTTCCACACATGTTTTCAACTACACTGCACAACTGGTCTGAACAGGAACACAGAAACCTGGGGCTGACCTGGGTCTGTGGAGAGGGAAAGGTGGGGCAGGTGGGGCTGGGTGTTGGAGGTAGAAGGTGGTGGTGAGGGGGAAGTTTATGTGTCAGAAAGTTCAGTATTGGTCTGGTTTTGTTGTGAGCTGGATGCTGTAGTTAGTGCAGTGGGGTTGGGGCAGAGTACAAGTGGGGCAGATGATGGGGGTAACAAAGCAGGCCGAGGGGCAGGTCCATCCATCCATCCATTATCTATACACCGTTTAATCCTCACTAGGGTCGTGGGGGGCTGGAGTCTATCTCAGCTGACTCAGGGTGAAGGCAGGACACCCTGGACAGGTCACCAGTCTATCACAGGGCTACACTTAGAGACAGACAACCAAGCACATTCACATTCACACCTACGAGCAATTTAGAATCACCAATTAACCTCAACATGTTTTTGGACCTTGTGGGAGGAAGCTGAGGAACCCGGAGAGAACCCACGCTACACTGGGAGAACACGTAAACTCCACACAGAATGATTGCAGGCTGGGATGTGGATCAGGCATGTTGCAGCTGCGAGGCAACGGTGCTAACCACTGCTCCACCATGCAGCAGTGGGAGGCGCAGATGCCTGATCAAATCTGTCGAAGAAAAATTAAACTCCCTGATCTTTATTTGTCTCTCCAAGGGGTTCTTTGTAGCCAGAGATGGTCTTCAGGCCTCTCCAAACTCAGCTGATGATGTTCTGCTGCAGCTGCTCCTCCATCCTCCTCCTCTAACTTTTCTTCCCCTCTTTTTTTCCTCCTCTTCAGCTCCCTCTGTGCAACCTTCAGCTGCCCTTTGTTTCCTGACTTAAAGGCCCCCCTCTTCTCCTTAAGAAGGGCCTTTATATCGGGGGTAATCCAGGGTTTGTCTTTGGAGAAACATGGTACAGTTCTGGTGGGTATAACATTTTCCACACAGAAGTTGATGTAGTCCGTGAGCCGAGCCTCATCAGAACATCACTGCACAGTTTGGGTCACAGCTGCTGACTGGATCTTCCCAGGAGAGGAAGAGATGATTAGCTGGAGGCCTCCTTGGTGTTCTGTTGTCTCTGGTGTAACATACTGGGTGAATGTGGGCAGAATGGAAGGCAGAGAGGTTAAAGTTCCCAGAGACTATTATCATTGAAACGTTCAGGAAAAATGTAAAGATGTGAATCAGACGAGCTGCAGCAGAATCTCTCAAACACTCGATTACATGTGATTTCAAAGCAGTGACTCTGCAGATTCAAGAGGCTGGAAATGATCCATTTCACACAAAGAGGCAGCACAACCAGGTCCAGCTCATACACCAGAGTCCATATGACACCTGATCCAGGACTGGCCCAGCTGCAGCAACCAGCAGAACCAGGTCCAAACTAGCTGACCATCAGAGTCCAGTACTGGTCCAGGATCCTGCCTTAGTTGGAGGCTCAGACCAGAGTACATCTTGGAAAAGAATAAATAACGAGAGGGTCCACAACAAATACTGACAGAACAGGTTTGAACTGGACTGAAATGGTTTAAGTTTAAACTGGTCTGACCTTGGGCTTTCTCTTGTAGTTGATGAATTCAGCCAGAAATAAAACCAGACCCAGAACCAGTCCTGAGGCTCCGATGGCGATCTTGTTGCTCTCTGACCCAGGCATGGACGGGTCTGAGGACCGATGGACAGGTGAGAAACAGACAGGTGAGAGACAGAGAGAGAGACAGACAGACAGATATTTACCCCAGTCGGTTCTCAGAGGTTCTTTCAGGCTGGGGTGTTCCACCACACACGAGATTTTCTCTCCAGACCTGCAGCAACACAAACCAACATCACTGATTCATCAACCTGAACCTGAACCTGAACCTGAACCTGAACCTGAACCAGACCCTGACCCTAGATTTGGACAAGGACTCACCTGGGAGTGTACTCCAGGTGTGAGTGGACCTGGTAGAACCAATCACCCTCCTCCATCACGTCGGTGGAGGTGATGTTTGAGGTAACCCTCTTTCCATCTCTCAACCAGTTAACACTGATCACTTTGGGGTAGAAGTTATAAACGCTGCAGACCAACATGGCTGCATGGTGACCAAAGGGGGGCGCCACGGAGTACAGAACTACGTTAGGTTTAACTGGAACAGAGATTACAGTTAGTGCTGACAGAACCAGCAGCAGTCGGGTCTCCTGCAGCGTCACAGTGAGTCTCAGCTCTATCAGGAAGCACTTCTCCACTTTATCCACATGTTTCATCTTAAAAAAATGACTTATAATGCAGCAAAATTCACATTTACACATTTAAGTCTGTAAGAAACTTCAAACTGAGACACAAATGTAAATCCATAGTATCAGCACCATCAGCTGTGTGTTCTCTCATTTCACCTGAAAGAACAAACAAGCTTTCTAAGAATTTACATTATGTTTTTTACAGACTCAGTCAGTCTCATTGTGATTTATGTCTTTTCCAGCTCTGATGAAAATGTCAGACCTGGTGGAAATGTCTCATTATGGGTTTGAAGAGGAAACTTATCAACATGTGAAATCATAATCATATCAGTAGGAACAGAATCTATGTGATGAGCTGCTCTATGATCAGTGGTTGTAGTATCAGAGCTTCGCCACCAGGTGGAGACTTTAACTTGCCTTCTACAGTACAGATTCCACCTGTACAGGTGACGGCCAGTCTTTTTAATGTGATGGAAAACAGCAGGGAGACATTTTAAAGCTGCAGCAGAAACACTGATTATTGATGGTGAACTGTGATCAGTTTGACTCAAACTCAAACTCACCTGCTTTTGACAGAATATTATTGTAATAGAGATGAACGTTGTGCTGGCAGTATCTCTCCTTCATGGATCTCATGTGATTCAGCGTTACAAGATTAATGTTAAACTGTTCCGCAATCCTCACTCCGTAATTACTGTATCCAACAAATCTCCTCAAACTGCTGCTGAACCTCGTGAGCTCCAACTTGTTGTAATAAACAGAACGGATATACTCGATGCCCATCAGCTCAGTAGAGTTAAACACACAGTAATCCATAGTGTAATACACAAATCCACCTGAAGAACAAAACAGAATGAAACCTCAGAGAGTACTGATCAGTGATCAGAGCATTGATCAGAGTATTGATCAGAGTATTGATCAGAGCATTGATCAGAGCTTTGGTCCTACCTGCTGTGCTGATGGTAATAAAGAGGAGCCAGAAGCTGACAGAGGATGAAGCCATGTTCCTGAGTTCACTCTTTGACCAACACTGACCCAAGTGTGACTGAGAGCTGCTGGTAAAAGCAGAACAGGATCATGTGATGTAGCATCTGCTGTTACCAAGCAGAGACTCTGATGGAAGTCATGTGGAGCTGCATTAATTCCTTTATGTCGTAATGTGTCCAAAACCATTTATTTATAATTATAAATCCCAAAAAAGTAATAGGATGCTTTCAGTATGCAGGAATGTGCAAATTATTGACTTGAAAATGTGTAAGACTACATAGTGTGAGATGTCAACGACTTGAAATGTGAAAAAGGACAATAATAATCCTGTTCAAAAGCTGTCATGTTAATGTTAACACACAGCATCAATGTCTGTGGTGGAGGGAGGACTGGTCCTGGAGGAGGACAGGTCCTAGAGGACAGGTAGAAGGTTTTGTGTTGCAGCAAACAACCACATGTCGTCATTTTATCCAGTGAAATACGGTGTGCCTCAGGGGTCGGTTTTAGGTCCAATTTTGTTTTCTTTGTACATGCTTCCCCTGGGGCACATAATACAAAGACATGGTGTTTCATTTCATTTTTTTGCTGATGACACGCAACTGTACCTGCCTGTTAAGGCCACTGACCCTGGGAAGTTGAGTGCTTTAAATGACTGCGGATACAGACCTGAACCTTAGCAGGCACAGCTGAGGGCAGAACGCCCACTTTCACTGGAACACAAACCTTTCAGACTTTACAGAGACTCATACGAATAACAGCCGACTAATGTATCAGCTTGGCTCAATCAGCTGATTGATTCGTCAGCTAACTGTTTACCTGTCCGACAGCAATCAGTGTGTGTGTTGCAGAACAGCAGAGAACAGTCAGAGCTGATGGAAACATGTTGAAGCAGTTTTTTTCCGACAGAACACAGAAAACTTTCATCAGAGTTAAATCGATTTGATTCAGAATGATGAAACTCAATTACATCATTTACAGTAAAAAGGAAACATCTGGATTATGTCCTGACAATTCTATGTCACACACTGATGACATTATCAGCCACAACCAATCATCTGCACCGGATTCCTTTGAAAAGGAAGAAAGTTCTAGTTGCCACACCGAGCAGACCGAAGGTCAGACCGAGTCCACAGAACACTGCAGGTCCAACACATGGCTGAGTCGTCTCCACATCTGGATACAGAGACACAGAGACATGAAACATCTGGATACAGTGTCACAGAGATGTGAAACATCTGGATAAAGAGACACAGAGACTTGAAACATCTGGATACAGAGTCACAGAGACGTGAAACATCTGGATACAGAGACATGAAATGTGGATACAGAAAGACAGAGTCGTGAACCTGAACATCTGGATCAGTTCTCTGTGACCAGCTGTGTTGTTTTCAGGTCTCTGTTTAAATAAAGTTTCTCACCCCACATTCTAGCCAGTGGTTGGCTCAGGGCCAGATGTTCCACTGAACAGCTGTAAACATCTCCATGATGTGGGATAAACTCCAGTGTAGAGATCTGGGTGAAGGAACCATCTTTCTTAGGCGAGGGATCCTTGATGCTGGCTCCTTCAGTCACGTTCTCTCCATTCTTGGTCCAGGAGACTTTGACAGGGGCCGGATAGAAACCAGAAACATAACAGATCAGAGTGTTCTTCACTCCGAGTTCCATGTTGTCTCTGATGTAGATGAAGTGACTGTTTGGAGGATCTGAACAGAAACAGAAATTTCATACTTTTACATGTTGCAATAAAAACAATCCAAGTAATTTCTATCCTAACTAGTCAAATATATATACAGTTGAAACCAGAAGTTTACATATTCTGTATGAAAAGATATACAACCTTGTTTTTCTCTCTCACTATCTGATATTAAATCAGACAAAAAGTTTCCTTTTTAGGTCAGTTAGGATTACCAAAATTATTTCTATTTGCTAAATGCCAGAATAATGGAAAAGAGAATTTTTTTAGAGAATTTTTTATTACTTTTTTTAAAGCCAGAAGTTGACATACACCAAGATTACTAAGCCTTCAAACTATTTGGGAAAGTCCTGAAGATGATGTCATGGCTTTGGAAGCTTTTAATAGGTTAACTGAAAACATTCGAGTTAATTGGAGGCACACCTGTGGATGTATTTCAAGGCACACCTCAAACACTCTGCTTCCTTTTGTGGCAACATGGGAAAATCTAAAGAAATCAGCCAAGATAGCAGGAAGAGAATTGTGGACCTCCACTAGTCTGGTTCATCCTTGGGTATAATTTCCAGATGCCTGAAGGTTCCACGTTCATCTGTTCAAACAATTATACACAAGTATAACCACCATGGGAATGTCCAGCCATCATAGCGCTCAGGAAGGAGACGGGTTCTGTGTCCCCGAGATGAAGCGTTTTGGTGTGAAATGTGCGAATCAACCCCAGAACAAAAGCAAAAGACCTTGTGAAGATGCTGCTGAAGCTGGTCAGAGAGTCATTATCCACAGTGAAACCAGTCCCGTACCGACATGGACTGAAAGGCTACTCAGACAGGAAGAAGACATTACTCCAAAAGAAACATAAAGAAGCCAGATTACAGTTTATAAATGCACACAGGGACAAAGATCTTCATTTCTGGAGACATGTCCTGTGGTCTGATGAAACTAAAACTGAACTGTTTGTCCATAATGACCATCGTTACATTTGGAGGAAAAAGGATGAAGCTTGAAGCCTGAGAACACCATCCCAACTGTGAAGCACGGAGGTGGCAGCATCATGTTGTGGAGGTGTTTTGCTGCAGGAGGGACTGGTGCACTTCACAGAATAGATGGACTCATGAGGAAAGAACATTATGTGGAAATATTGAAGCAACATCTCAAGACATCAGGCAGGAAGTTAAAGCTTGGACACAAATGGGTCTTCCAATGGACAGTGACCCTAAACATACCACCAGATTAGTTACAAAGAGGCTTCAGGTCAACAAAGTCAATGTTTTGGAGTGACCATCACAAAGCTCTGATCTCAATCCTGTTGAACATTCGTAGGAAGAGCTGAAAAGGCGTGTGAAGCAAGGCAGCCAACGAACCAGACTCAGTTCCATCAGTTCTGTCTGGAGGAATGGGCCAGAAATCATCAAACTATTGTGAGAAGCTTGTGGAAGGAAAACATTTGACCCAAGTCATACAGTTTGAAGGCAACACTACCAAATACTAAGGATATATATGTAAACTTCTGACTTTGAAGAAAGTAATAAAAAAAAATTCTCTCTCTAATTCTTCTGGCATTTAGCAAATAGAAATAATGTTGGTAATCCTAACTGACCGAAAACAGGAAAAGTTTAATCACATTTAATGTCAGACAGTGAGAAAAAAAGGGTTATGTGTTTTTTTTATACAGTGTATGTAAACTTCTGGTTTCAACTGTATACATTAACCATCCACTTTGGGCCTTTTTTATGTTGTGTTCTCTGTTTAAAAAAATGAGAAAAAGGTATCAGCATTAAAGACAAACACGTGGATAGGTACTGAAATCATCTGAATATGCATGTAAATATAAATGTGTGTTTCTACAAAATAATCATGTCATTTTAATTTAGTTTTGAGGACGCTTGTTTGTTGCTTGTCCAAACATCAGTAAGATTCTAAAATGGTTTTTGAGGCCAAACAATATAAGCATCACAATTGTTATCATAAAGTTAAACTGTCTACGATTTAGTTTCCTGCAGCTGAACATGATGGAAGGATGATAAACAATAAGGAAAAGTAAGCTGAGTATGACCACGGCCTGAAACCTGTCAGTTCATAAAACACTCAAACATTGTCCGACTTATCAAACTATCAGCGCTGATTGTTTGTATTTTACTCTCAATCTGTGTGTTTCTTTTCTCTTGGGTGAACAGCAGGAAAATGTAAAAAAACAAAAAAAAAAACCTGACCCTGTTCCAGTTGGACATCCCCCATCACTGATTGAACTGTCTTCAGGTTCTGTCTGCAGACCTGTTGCTCAGCCACAGCCCGCTCATAAGCTCCTGGTGAGGTTATAGGATCTGCAAAGTCAGGAAGAGCATCAACTAGTCTTCGATTGATGAAATCTGCATACCAAAGCTCTGCTCCATCCAGACTGTCCATGTTCTCTCCATTAGAGTCTGAACATGCACTGAAGTGAAGAGCCTCATGTAGACCTGAAGAGAAAACACAAAGAAACTAATTATTATCCTCCTGAGACACAGTTTGTTTGTAGATCATTCCTGTCTGTAAACTGTTTGTTTGTGAAGCAGAAATTCACCATCAGCTGAGACCCAGAGGACCCAGCAGAAGACGAGGAGCAGCTCAGACACCTTTATCAGCTTCATCTTCCTCAGCAGCAGCAGCAGCAGCAGCAGCAGCAGTGGACCGTTAAACTGTGGATCTGAAGTGGACAAACTCAGAGTGAGTCAAAGTGCAGCAGCATCTCTGATTCCCATAGCACCAATCATGGAACAGAGTCAGCAGTTACTGGGCAGACGCTCTTAACATTAAAACAACCCAAAGTAAAGATTTTCAGATTGTCCTTTTTGACTATTTTTTTAAAATATACTTTTGCTTCTATGCTGCCATTGCTCTACTTTGAAAGTAAAGTCAAAGTAAAATATTAGTTTTGGTTCAATTTGAAGCAGCTAAAATGATCTTTGGCTCAATCAGCTACAGCAGTAAAATGCTGCTTTTAAAGGGAAGATGTTTCTCTGCTCCGAGAAGCTTCACCTTTAACTTTAATTCAGTGTTGCAATGCAGCACCACAAAGTGAAGTTCAGCTCAGTCCTGTCACTGAGTTTTACATATGAAAAAGTGATTCACAGGATAGGAACTGCTTCGTATAAATCTCTGATAGAAGAAAACAGGAACAACCCCAGTTTGTTTTCAGCTCTGTGGAACTTCACTTCTTTAAACTCAGTAATGATGATTCATGACTTTCTTTACGGGAAAAGTTTTGACAATCAGAGAATAAATTCTGAACATGTCTTTAGGCGCAGCAGCTCTGGAGGCGTCCGTAGGACCAGACTTATATTTGGACTGTTTCTGTGCCGTAAATCTCCCAGAGCGTCTTCTAAAGCAGCAACTTGTCTGTAAGAACCCATCAGAACCAGACTGTTCTTTAATTAACACTCCAGTATTCGACATCATCAACCTTATTAAATAGCCCTTAATGTCACTGTCATCAAACCCATACTGAAAAAGCTGCTCGGGGTCCAGTTGTTTCAGCCAATTATAGACCCACATCCTCAACCCGTATACTGGTCCTACTGGATCTCACTGGTTTCCATTCTGATCCTGCTGGATCTCACTGGTTTCTATGTCAAGACGTTTTCTCGACAGAACTTTTGCATTTACAGAACAAACCATCCGAGATGTCTGTCTGAATGCGCCATATGTTTAACATGTAAAAACCTGAGTGTTTCTAAAATCCCTACATGTTCAATATCTGAAAGCTCCGGTGTCCCTGAATGCACCACATGAAATATATTGAAATACTCATGCATCCCCGAATGCATCACAAGTATAATATCTGAAAACCACACGTCCCTGAATTCACCATGATTTATATCTAATCCTGTTTATGATTTAAATCTAATTATACCTGTCCCCGAATGCATCACATTTAATACCTAAAAACCTTGTGTGTCCCCAAATGCATCACGTTTAATACCTAAAAACCTTGTGTGTCCCTGAATGCACCACATNAGTTCCATCAGTTCTGTCTGGAGGAATGGGCCAGAAATCATCAAACTATTGTGAGAAGCTTGTGGAAGGAAAACATTTGACCCAAGTCATACAGTTTGAAGGCAACACTACCAAATACTAAGGATATATATGTAAACTTCTGACTTTGAAGAAAGTAATAAAAAAAAATTCTCTCTCTAATTCTTCTGGCATTTAGCAAATAGAAATAATGTTGGTAATCCTAACTGACCGAAAACAGGAAAAGTTTAATCACATTTAATGTCAGACAGTGAGAAAAAAAGGGTTATGTGTTTTTTTTATACAGTGTATGTAAACTTCTGGTTTCAACTGTATACATTAACCATCCACTTTGGGCCTTTTTTATGTTGTGTTCTCTGTTTAAAAAAATGAGAAAAAGGTATCAGCATTAAAGACAAACACGTGGATAGGTACTGAAATCATCTGAATATGCATGTAAATATAAATGTGTGTTTCTACAAAATAATCATGTCATTTTAATTTAGTTTTGAGGACGCTTGTTTGTTGCTTGTCCAAACATCAGTAAGATTCTAAAATGGTTTTTGAGGCCAAACAATATAAGCATCACAATTGTTATCATAAAGTTAAACTGTCTACGATTTAGTTTCCTGCAGCTGAACATGATGGAAGGATGATAAACAATAAGGAAAAGTAAGCTGAGTATGACCACGGCCTGAAACCTGTCAGTTCATAAAACACTCAAACATTGTCCGACTTATCAAACTATCAGCGCTGATTGTTTGTATTTTACTCTCAATCTGTGTGTTTCTTTTCTCTTGGGTGAACAGCAGGAAAATGTAAAAAAACAAAAAAAAAAACCTGACCCTGTTCCAGTTGGACATCCCCCATCACTGATTGAACTGTCTTCAGGTTCTGTCTGCAGACCTGTTGCTCAGCCACAGCCCGCTCATAAGCTCCTGGTGAGGTTATAGGATCTGCAAAGTCAGGAAGAGCATCAACTAGTCTTCGATTGATGAAATCTGCATACCAAAGCTCTGCTCCATCCAGACTGTCCATGTTCTCTCCATTAGAGTCTGAACATGCACTGAAGTGAAGAGCCTCATGTAGACCTGAAGAGAAAACACAAAGAAACTAATTATTATCCTCCTGAGACACAGTTTGTTTGTAGATCATTCCTGTCTGTAAACTGTTTGTTTGTGAAGCAGAAATTCACCATCAGCTGAGACCCAGAGGACCCAGCAGAAGACGAGGAGCAGCTCAGACACCTTTATCAGCTTCATCTTCCTCAGCAGCAGCAGCAGCAGCAGCAGCAGCAGTGGACCGTTAAACTGTGGATCTGAAGTGGACAAACTCAGAGTGAGTCAAAGTGCAGCAGCATCTCTGATTCCCATAGCACCAATCATGGAACAGAGTCAGCAGTTACTGGGCAGACGCTCTTAACATTAAAACAACCCAAAGTAAAGATTTTCAGATTGTCCTTTTTGACTATTTTTTTAAAATATACTTTTGCTTCTATGCTGCCATTGCTCTACTTTGAAAGTAAAGTCAAAGTAAAATATTAGTTTTGGTTCAATTTGAAGCAGCTAAAATGATCTTTGGCTCAATCAGCTACAGCAGTAAAATGCTGCTTTTAAAGGGAAGATGTTTCTCTGCTCCGAGAAGCTTCACCTTTAACTTTAATTCAGTGTTGCAATGCAGCACCACAAAGTGAAGTTCAGCTCAGTCCTGTCACTGAGTTTTACATATGAAAAAGTGATTCACAGGATAGGAACTGCTTCGTATAAATCTCTGATAGAAGAAAACAGGAACAACCCCAGTTTGTTTTCAGCTCTGTGGAACTTCACTTCTTTAAACTCAGTAATGATGATTCATGACTTTCTTTACGGGAAAAGTTTTGACAATCAGAGAATAAATTCTGAACATGTCTTTAGGCGCAGCAGCTCTGGAGGCGTCCGTAGGACCAGACTTATATTTGGACTGTTTCTGTGCCGTAAATCTCCCAGAGCGTCTTCTAAAGCAGCAACTTGTCTGTAAGAACCCATCAGAACCAGACTGTTCTTTAATTAACACTCCAGTATTCGACATCATCAACCTTATTAAATAGCCCTTAATGTCACTGTCATCAAACCCATACTGAAAAAGCTGCTCGGGGTCCAGTTGTTTCAGCCAATTATAGACCCACATCCTCAACCCGTATACTGGTCCTACTGGATCTCACTGGTTTCCATTCTGATCCTGCTGGATCTCACTGGTTTCTATGTCAAGACGTTTTCTCGACAGAACTTTTGCATTTACAGAACAAACCATCCGAGATGTCTGTCTGAATGCGCCATATGTTTAACATGTAAAAACCTGAGTGTTTCTAAAATCCCTACATGTTCAATATCTGAAAGCTCCGGTGTCCCTGAATGCACCACATGAAATATATTGAAATACTCATGCATCCCCGAATGCATCACAAGTATAATATCTGAAAACCACACGTCCCTGAATTCACCATGATTTATATCTAATCCTGTTTATGATTTAAATCTAATTATACCTGTCCCCGAATGCATCACATTTAATACCTAAAAACCTTGTGTGTCCCCAAATGCATCACGTTTAATACCTAAAAACCTTGTGTGTCCCTGAATGCACCACAT